TCTGAAGAAGGGTCCCGACCTGAAACGTCAGCTTTCCTGCTCCTTTGATGCTGCTTGGCCTGCTGTGTTCCTCCAGCTCTACGCTGTGTTATCTCTGACTCCAGCATCGGCAGTTCTTACTATCTCTGCCACGTGTTTGTCTATTTTTGTGATGGGTTTTATAAATTAACTAGGTCAGTCTTTCCAGAACCACAACTTTACACCAGTATTTGCCTTCTAGAGTGTTAATGCAAGCGTGTTTGTATTGTGGGGGATTGTGACCAGAGAGAGAAAACATTAAGTCATTAGCTTAGCAGAAGCTAGGATGAGTAAGTTTTTAAATTTAGTTCAAAAGCTTGTGGGGAGATCATTGGAGAACCTGATTGGGGTGAGAAACAGGTATAGCTTCTTCTTCAATGGGAGATTGTTCAGAGCAGTTAAGGAAATAAGTTGCCTCAGTGAAAAGTGTAGTCTGTGAAACTAACAGACCAGTAGTGTTTGGTTATAACACTGCAGATTATTATTATTAAATACTGAGGAAATCTAAGCTCTTGATGGTTTGCTTCATCAAGTGAAAAAGCTTCACAGCTCATGGGACCAGAACTGAGATGATGCAGTTAAGTCAAACCTTGAGATTTGATAAGGAAGGAATTTCTCTGGACCTTGTCAAGTGATGGTCTTGGCTAGTGGCTGGGATTATGCTTCACTGTGTGTTTTGATTTTTTTTCAAACTGTGTTAAATTTAGATAGCTTTATTTGTCTTATTTTAACTTTATGCCTTCTGTGCAATAAACTTCTGTTTTATTGTTAGTACCAAATCTGCAGCATTATGTTTCAATGAAAGAAAGCCACATTAAAAGAAAACAAAACATGATCTATAACATCAACGTTCCTGCTCTTCTGATGCTGCCTGGCCTGCTGTGTTCCACTGTGTTGTCTCTGACTCCAGCATCTGCAGTTCTTACTATCTGTGAATTGTTCTTAGGAGCCCAGTTTGCTTGGCGAAGCCAGAGTGATCCATTGTGAGCAAAAGGGTCAAAGACTGACCTATCCTTCCCTATCAGAGGATGGTGACACTGACAATAGCCATTTTAGAATATGGAGCCCATAATGCCAAACCTAAGCAGGCTAAAGGAATTGTTCCTCATGCAAATGGTGCATAAACTATGGAGTGATGATATACGGAATGTACAACAAAAAGTAACAAAGTAATTGCAAGAACTTTTCTTACAATCAGTTTAACATTCTCCACAATATCTGCATAAGATACAAAGTATTGTAAAAGCTTAGTAAAAGCTTGGAAATTATGGAGGGTAACTACCATGGCCATCTATATTCCACTGGAGAGAAATGTGTCAATGTATGCAGAATTCCTAGTTTCACTTAGCTCCTTTCTCCTGACTGAAGCAGATTTTGAGAAAACAAGAGTGTATGACTACTAGAAAACTGACACAAAGGGTGGACCTTTGGGAAGGCTACTCAGTTTAAATGAATGGACCAGATTGGTTTCAAAACCCATGATAGGTGAACTAATAGACGTTTTCACTGAACCGGTGCAGCTTCAATATAAATATGAGGGGTTAAATAAAATTCATGAACAGTTCTGGCATCAAATTTTATTGCATATTGAACGTTTTACCACGAACAATTATAAGCAAGTACCATAGGACTCTGTTCATTGCTTACCTTCTACACTCACTTGGACGTAGCGTTTGATTGGTTTCTCTAAGCTGGCGTGCTCAACTCGACATACATACGTAACGCCATTGTCCTGGAGGGATGCTGTGAATCTGAAATAACTGGTCATGTTGTAGGTGCCATCCATGTTCCGCTTGTGGGGGGAGAAGACAACGTTCGTCATGTAAACAGGCAGCATGTGCCCCTCACCCTTTTGCCGCAGCCACTTCACCGTTACATCAAGTGGATAATACCGCCCTGCATCACAGACCAGCTTCTGTTCATCCCCTTCGATAAGGGAAACCGAATCAGGGTTCACAGAGACAATGGGCGACTCTACAACATAAGCAAACACGCTGTATTGCAACATTTCACAACAACTGAACACACATTCAAGATTCAGAGGTGCTTTTTGACACTTAGGATTTTCAGCTTTCAATTTAATTAGAATCAGATTAGAATAAGAGAGCTTTTCATTGAGAACATGACAAGTAACCAAGAAAATTTTTTTTAAAAATCAGCAGTTTCAACAGCTTTTGATAGTAATATTTTCTGTACAATCACATTACACAGTTAACACACTGTAACAAAAAGTTGCTGAAACAGTTTGTATTCGAGGCAAAATTATGATGATAGCAGCAGGGCACAAACCACAACATCCATCTGTGAAGCTTTGGCATTTGTTCAGTTTACAGGACAGGGACAATGGTAATCCCGCGCTGCTTCCTTAAGTTTACATTTCTATATTTGGCTCACTTGTCTCTACCACAGAATCACAATCCAGGCCCATATCCAAACACAGAGAATGCTGGAGAAACTCAGCATATGTGGAGAGAGGAGCAGAGTTAACACTGTGTGTCTGGTATGACTCCTCTTCTAATGAGGAGAACATAAGACCAGGAGCAAGCCACCGAGTCCCTCTACAGTAAATAGAAACAACCTGGTGCATAGCCGAGCTGGATTGCAATCACTCTGATCACTAATAATCACGGCAAGGCTCTTGTGATGCTACCTCTCAACTAGATAACTAGGTTCAATTCCCATCTGCTCTGGAGGTCACAACACCCTTGAGCAGGTTGATTAAAAGATATCTCCCTGACAACCAGGGTGAAGGTTTTTTTTGGTGTGCTGGTACAAATCTGAACAACTTGCACTCTACATTCCTGCATGATGTTAAAATGCACCTTGCTGTAGGTTGGAATAATTAATCCAGGCACTACCACTGGAGCAACAACTTCAGCTTTATTCAGGAGGCAGTAAGGTGAAAATGATCCTTTCAACCTTCTGCTGACTTCTGCGCTGTTTTGTTACCAAATGAATGAATACATTTCCATTAATCTGTTAATTTTCCATGTTGATTAATTCACTCGATTCAACATCTTACCCATAATCTCGACCTCAATGGCGTGTGTTCCAAAGAGTGGAGGCACATATACAGAACACATGTAGGATCCCTCATCTTTAACACCAATGTTTCTTAAACGGAGTGAAGCATTTCCCTTCTTGATCTGGTCCATGAATAATTCAACTCCTTTCTCAATGAATTCAATCCGCTGATGTCGCCCATTGTAGGAGAACAATTTCTTCTTGTTCCCTTTGTGCTGATACCGCCAGTCAACGTTAAAGTCTGTACTGTGATCAATTTTGTAGCCGCAGTCCAGAATGAGGTCTTGCTTCAGTTTAGTTCTGATCAATGGGGTCCTGGTGTGTACAATATAAGTCACTAACAAATAAAAACAAACAGTCATGACCATCCATTTTTGTAACAGTTAAATCACTACTAATAACTCAGCCAAAACTATTTGAAATTGTATGTTCTCTGAAGTTCAGCATCTTAAATATGCAGTCGTAAGTTGTTTATATTTCTTTGGATGTTTCATCTCTTGTATTATCATTGGAGTTGATAGAGTTTAATATGCTTATGCAAAACAAATATTGCCCACATCTCACACACATTCTCGCAGCACTCACTCTGAACATGCGCTCAGCTGGTCAACATTAAAACATTACCTTGAACAAACAGAGTGTCAGTGTCACCAATGGATAAATCTTCACCATCAGTTTTTGCTTCACTTTTCTCAACTTTCTGGCTATCGGGCTCTTCTATCTTCCTCATGAAGCCGATTACAGTGAACCTGCTACTTAAATGCTTTAAAGTCACTGTGAACCATATATCTTCAATAGCCTCCTTACCCTCATGCGGCCAGGGCATATGGATGCCGTGAGTAGAATACCTACTAATTTCACATCCTAATGTGTCCAGTTTCTCGTCCACATACTGGAAAACATCTAATGAAGACTCTGTTAAAAAAAAATTGATTCACATAATAAGTAACAGCCAATTATTAGAAATGATGGAAATTAGTCACATAGAGAGAGGTCTCAATATTAATGAAGCACAGTTTGCTGTTCCTCCCACATTGTAAGATCCTATAAATTTTTCTGAAAAATTGAATTTACATCTTGGATATATATATTTAATAGACTGACTTCAGGGAGCTGAAGAACCTGTAGACTTGTCTGTCCCAAAAGATGTTTTCAAACTAAACACTGAAAATGCAGCCTAACTTTTGATTGAAACAGGTCACTCTTAATGAGTAAGCCCTGTCATGTTATAATTTCAGAAGTTGTGCAGAATTGTTTTCTTCCAGCAATGGATTCCTGTTAACACCTTGTCCTTCATGAAACAGAAAGAAATGCATTTGTTTAGCACCTTTTACAAGCTCAAGATATCTCCAAGAGTTTTTCAGCCAAGGAATTACATTTGACAAGTAATCCCTGCAGTAATGTAAGAAATGCAGAAGCCAACTTAAGCACAGCAACCTGCCCAGACATACCCCTATAATTTCACTTTATTGGTAAGTCTCAGTAAATGAATTGCTTCACTATGTTAAGTTCCACTTGCACCAAATTGAAATGGGGTGTGCAAGATTGTTCATTCTTTCACGCTGTGTACTCTGACATGGCAAGTCACATAACCTATGGTTGATATGAGACCTAAATGATTGCATCAATTTTATATTCTATTGGATTATGATCAAAAGGCCAGGTAAGTAGTGTCCACTAAACCCCATATTAATTATGCTTAATTATATGCAGGTGAATGGCATTCATTGAGGCTTCACTTGAGTGCACGTAAGGGGACCCTCTTGAGGTGCAGTGGTTGTGTCCCTCGATTGAGGGGCCTGGGTTCAAGTCCTACCTGCTCCAGAGACGTGTAATAACAACTCTGAACAGTTGATTAGAAAAATCGGTTTAATTGAAAACAAACTACAAACTTGATCATTAGTGGTACTGTCCCTGCCTTTGATCCAGGAAGCCTAGGTTGAAGTCATTTACTGAAACTGTGCTGCAGGACACGGAAACATAAAATTTAGGAACAGAAGTTGGCTATCTGATCCTTCAAGCCTGTTCAACCATTTAATAAAGACCAGGGCTGATGTGGTTCTGGTCCTTTTAAAGTGTTGCCTTGAGCTGGCCATGAATCAGCCTACGAGTTTCCTTGCTCAGCTTCAAACCCTGGATTCAATTAGTTTTGTACAATTAAAGAGATGCATACTTATATTTATCTGGAGAATAATTCGTTTTGAGGACGTTTTTGACTGAACTTGCCAGCTGGGAAACCAAGGGATCATATGGAACATCTGTTTAAATCTCTGGACAATATTACTTACCAGTGACTTCAACAAAAAAATAATCAGGCTGGATATAAAACCAGTATTGCGCTTAATTTATTAATTTTCCAATGGATTGATGGGTGTTACAAATTACCACTCTTGTGTTTTACAGCATTTATTACTTCTTAGATATCAGTGGATTGTCTGAATTATTATGAGCAATGCCATGGGAGATCTGCTACTCTAACAAAATAAACAATGCAGGACTTCATTACAAGTAACTTTGGGAGCATTAAAGCACTCTTATATTGTTTTACTCTATGTACAGCAGAGGGGGCTTGCCTGAGAGAATTAATTTGAAGATATGTTTTATCCTTACCTTGAACTTTAAAAATAATGGCCTCTTCATTTGTAACAATATCACCAAACAGTAGGGTTGCCTTCCTTTTGATGGTGATTGGCCCAAACACTTCAGCCTGTTCATTTTGTTTTTGTCCTACAAACGCGCAATCCAACTTTCTGCCTGGAATCCTGCGTCCATTCTGTGCCTGCACAATTCCTTAAAAATACATAAAAGCATCTAAATAAAAAACTTTTAATACCAAATGCATACCAACACTGCACAAATTACCCAGGCACCTCAATGAATAAACAAATCTTTTAACATTGATTCCCATCATATAATGTCACAGTGGCCCATGAGTTTAAAGTTCAAAAACATATAGTAAATTGCAAATTGAACATTTTAGTCCATTTTTAAGAAGGTCAATTTTCCATCTTACAAAAAGATTGGAGAACTTGAGAATATTAGCTAGGATTTTGTTCTGCTCCTAAAGTTTTCAATTAGTGCGTTATATTCTGAAGCTAATTCATTTTACATGGATTAGATTGTGACTCCTGAAATTAAAGTAGTCTTAAATGCAAGTGTACATGCACAATGATGTTATGTTATTGAACTGACTGCAGTTAAACTAGCCTCAGCCCTAATATGAAGTTAAGTATGAATAGATCTCCATGTTACGGATCCAGTTGTATGTTTCAAAGGCTTTCAACCAGACTGCACTTCACTCTGTCCACTCAATCAGTCCACAAGCTCACAGAAAGATCCTAAATAAAACCCTTAGATTTCTGTAAATGACTCAAGGAGTGCCTTTGATCTACCTTTCTCTGAGTAAGTTGGTCATAAGTTAGCCATCATATTAAATGTAAGTTGATCGAACACAGAGCCAAACACAGGCCATATACACTTCACTGCAATGAATTACATGAATGGGTGATATTGGCTGATGTGTTTGCTGGGGTATAAGACACATAGAAGCATAGAAAATAGGAGCAGGATTTGGCCATTTAGCCCTGGGAACCTGCATCGCCATTCAGTATGATTATAGCTGATCATCCAGCTTAGTACATAAAAACCGAAAGAACTGCAGATGCTGAAAATCAGGAACAAAAACAGAAGTTGCTGGAAAAGCTCAGCAGATCTGCAGCATCTGTGAAGAAAAAAATCAGAGTTAACGTTTCGGGTCCGGTGACTCTTCCTCTTCACAGATGCTGCCAGACCTGCTGAGCTTTTCCACCAACTTCTGTTTCTGTTCCAACTCAGTACACTGTTCTCCTTTATCCATCTTCTATCCAACTCCCCCTTTCTCCCTATTTATTTCAGAATCCCCTTCCCCTCCCCCATTTCTGAAGAAGGGTCTAGGCCCGAAACGTCAGCTTTCCTGCACCTCTGATGCTGCTTGGCCTGCTGTGTTCATCCAGCTCTACACCTTGTTATCTCAGTACACTGTTCTGCTTTCTCCATATACTCTTTTATGTCCCCAAGAACTATGTCTACCTCCTCCTTGAAAAGATCAAATATTTTTGTCCTCAACTGCTTTCTGAGGCAGATAATTCCACAGGCTCACCACTCCCAGGGTGAAGGAATTTCTCATCATCTTAATCCTAAATGATCTACGTTGTATCCTTGTACTGAGATCTCTGGCTCTTGACTCCCTGGTCATCAGGAACATCCTTACTGCATTTACCCTGTCCAGTCCTGTTAAAATTTTATAGGTTTCTAGCAGATCTCCCCTTCATTCTTCTAAACTCCAGTGAACATAGTCCTAACCAGTCCAATCACCCTCCAATGTCAATCTTGCCATCCCTGGAATCAGTTGCACTCCCTCAGTGGCCAGAACTCTTCCACAGATAACAAAGAACTCTCTGTTCTTCGTTAAAGTGAAGATAAGGTGAAGTCACCACGGTCCCAGATGATCATAGGGTTGCTTGTCCATTAGACAGCAACATGATTCATGGGTAGTTTAACCTGAGGGTCACTACACCTCAGGTGAGGGGCTAAGGTTGAGAAGGCAGGACTCTCACATTGACCTCAGCCGATGTAGGAACTGAACCCGCATCGTTGGTGTCACTCTGCACTCAACCAACTGAGCTAGCCAACCCCCCTTCTTTACTTTATTTTGTTCATGGGATGTAGACGTCATTGGTTAGACCAGCATTTATTGCCAATCTCTAATTGCCTAGAGGTAGCGACATTTTAACATCTAGCTGTCTCTCACAAGGAGTTTACAGTTCCATCAGTCATGAAAAGCATTACAACAGCATTGAGCTCAGTTGGTTTTATGGCCAGTTGTGCTGCAGAGAGATACCAATAGCGTGGGTTCAATTCCTGCAACAGCTGAGATTACTATGAAGGACTACCACTACCACTCAGCTGAGGTTAAACCACCACCAGTTATCTCTCTCTGTCTCTATCTCTATCTCTCTCTCTCTCCAGCAGACAGCAGCCCTATGGTCTGGTAAGACTATGGCAACCAAACCTTACTCCTTCAGCGATAACACACACGGAGGAACACAGCAGACCAGGCAGCATGAGAGGAAAGTTGACGTTTTGGGTTAGGACCCTTCTTCAGAAAAGCGGGAGGGGAAAGGGAGCTCAGAAATAAATAGAGAGAGCAGGAGTGTGGCTGGGGAAGATAGGGAACTCCCACTTCCTACAGACTAAGGGGGTAACCATGGGAACCCGCATGGGCCCAAGCTATGCCTGCCTCTTTGTAAGATACATGGAACAGTCCCTCTTCCACAGCTACACTGGCCCCATTCCCCACCTCTTCCTCCGCTACATCGATGACTGTATCAGCGCTGCCTCGTGCTCCCATCAGGAGCTTGAACAGTTCATCAACTTAACTAACACCTTTCACCCCAACCTCAAGTTCACCTGGACCATCTCTGATACCTCCCTCTCCTTCCTGGACCTCTCTGTTTCCATCTCTGGTGACTGCCTCGAAACCGATGTCTATTTCAAGCCCACCGACTCCCACAGCTACCTAGACTGCACCTCCTCTCACCCACCTTCCTGCAAGAATGCAATCCCCGACTCCCAATTCCTCCACCTCCGCCGCGTCTGCTCCCAAGATGGGGCGTTCCACTCCCGAACATCCCAGATGTCATCTTATTTCAAGGACCGCATCTTCTCCCCTTCAGTGGTCGAAAATGCTCTCGAGCACATCTCTTGCGTTGCCCGCACCTCTGTCCTCTCATCCCCTCCCCCCAACAAAAACAAAGACAAAGACAGAATCCCCCTTGTCCTCACATATCATCCCACTAACCTCCGTATCCAATGTATCATTCTCCACCACTTCCGCCACCTACAATCCAACCCCATAACCAAAGATATATTTCCCTCCCCACCCCCATCTGCCTTTCGTAGGGACTGCTCTCTCCATGACTCCCTCATCCGCTCCACACTCCCCACTAGCCCCACCATCCCTGGCACCTTTCCCTGCAACCGCAGGAAGTGCTACACCTGCCCCTACTCCTTCCCCTTTACTTTCATTTAAGGCACCAAACAAACCTTTCACATCAGACAGAGGTACACTTGCACATCCATCAATGTGGTCTATTGTATCCGCTGCTTCTGATGTGGCCTCCTCTACATCGGTGAGACCAAGCGGAGGCTCAGAGACCGCTTTGCACAGCACCTGCGCTCTGTTCGCAACAAACAACAACACCTTCCGGTCAACTCTCCCTCCCACTCCCTGGGTGACATGTCCATCCTGGGCCTTCTCCAGTGTCACAATGGCACCACCCGCAAACTGGAGGAGCAGCACCTCATATTCCGCCTGGGGAGCCTGCAACCCGATGGCCTAAATGTGGACTTTACCAGTTTCAAAATCTCCCCACCATCCCCCAGCCTCATTCCATGACCAACCCTCCCTCTCATCCCGGCCTCCTTGTCCTGACACAACCTGTCCATCTTCTTTCGCACCTATCCACTCCTCCCACCTCACTGACCACTCCCTACCTGCACTCACCTATCACCATACTCCCACCCTGAAGAACTCCCTTCTTCAACACTGCATTGTGGTGGCAGTACCTTGTAGTCCAGGGGGAATAGTCCAAGTATGCTGAGCTAAATTGATCCAAAGAGGAAATCTTCACAATCACAATGGCAGTCAGAAAAATGTCTCCCCCATCCCTAGGTCCATATTATGCATGAGCTTCTAATCTTCTCCCAAATGGAAAAGAAGGGGAAGGGTCCCAAAAGCCATTTTATTCTCCCGGCATTGCCATAGTGAGCCAATGGCGTTCATCGCGTACTGATGTGTTCATTATATTCAAGACCATTTGCAGATATCACCAGGAACCGAAAGATAAGCTGCTGCACTACCATTTTAACCTGGTATTGCACTTTAAGGATCCCACAAGCATTTAGTTTCATTCGAAACGCCGCTTTCCAATCGTCAAATGACAAACGTCAAAATTTAGAACACGTTCTGCCTCTTTCATCGTGGAAGCGTTCGACTTTCTTACCGGCTCCAAGAATCCAAAAATGCAACAAGAACATCTCCAGATACATTGTGCATTGACGGTCCAGGCGCAGCGACAGTTTCGGTTTCGATTTAATGAGGAAGTTTCTGGTAATTGCAGTTTGAAGGAACATCGGTTTCGAAATGAGAACGGAGCGTTGCGAGGTTTCAGCGGGAGGCGGAGCGCTGTGTGTTTCTGATGTGCTATTTCACCTTTAATTTGCGTTTGTAAAAACAAATTACTGGGAATAGTATTTAGTATGCATTCAAGATTTTCAAATACACTCCCACAGCAGCCCTTTACGAATGGGTGCTGGGGTAAGGTTGGGGAAGTACAGTGGATATTTGCTGGACAGCTTTAGTCGAGGGTAGGGGTGGAATGGAAGGGAGGGAGCTTTAAGGGAGAAAAGGGGAGATTGAAACATTTGAGTCAGATATACACAAAAGACGATGCCAGTAATCTTTGACCCACTGGATATTTCCAGCATTTTCTGGAGCATAATGTGGGAAAACGCCATGGTGTTCATTTTAGAAAGGAGAACAAAAGTATTATTTATATGAAGACAAGCTACTGAAAGCTGCACCATATAGGGTATTTGGGATTGTGCACGAAACACAAAACTAGGTGCAGCAAGTAATCTAGCAGGCTAATGGAATGTTGGAACAAAAACAAAGTTGCTGGAAAAGCTCAGCAGGTCTGGCAGCACCTGTGAAGGAGAAAACAGAGTTAACGTTTCGGGTCTGGTGACCCTTCCTCAGACCTGAATGGAATGTTGGCTTTTATTTCAACAGGATTGGATTACAAGAGTATGGAAGTCTTACTACTAACTGTACAAGGCTCTGTTGAGACCATATCTGGGATACCGTGAGCAGTTTGGCTCTCATTTAAGGAAAGATATCATTTCCTTGATGTTAGTTCAGAGAAGGTTCACTAGGATAATCCTTGATATACAACAATCCTTTCATAAGCAAAAGCTAAACGGATTGGGACTCTACTCACTGGAAGTGATCTCATTGAAACATGTAGGATTCTCGAGGGACTTGACAGGGTAAATGCTGAGAGGATGCTTCCCCTCATGGGAGAATCTAGGATCACAGGGCATAGAACCAGAATAAAGAGGTGCCAATTTAAGACTGAGGAGGAATTTCTCGAGAGCCTTTGGAACTCCTTGCCACAGAGAACTGTGGGGACAGAGTCTTTCTGTGTATTTAAGGTTGAGATAGATTCTTGATCAGTAGGTGGATCAAGAGTTATGGGGAAAGGGCAGGAAGGTGGACATGAGGAATGTCAGATCAGTCATGATCCTTTTGAATGGCAGAACAGGCTTGAGAGGACTAACCGGCCTGCTGCTGTTCCTATTTCTTACGGTCTTATAGATTCCAGACATTTTGTAACATCACTGTAGCAGGCAAATGCTTTGCAGAAAAGTTGTCACAAATTCCACTTGTTTATAATAATTAAGCTTAGAATTAAACACGGTGAAACTCTGTAGTGCACTGTCACAAAAATCATCCATTATTGTTGTTGTATGAAAGCATTGTGCCTTTTTCATTATTGAGGAATCAGTTAGCTGGATGGCTGGTTTGCAAATACCAACAGCGTGGGTTAATTTCCTGCACCAGATGAGGTTACCATGAAGGACTCTCCTTCTCAGCCTCTTCCCCTCACCTGAGCTCTGGTGACACACAAGTTAAACCACCACCAGTCCTACCTACCTTAAATGAAAGAGTTGCACTGTGGTGACCTTACTTTGAGGATGTGGGGTAGTCAATCTTTAGTTGTAACATCCTCATGCTTTTCATGAAAACACAAATATGTGGCTAGGCCATAATGTTTGTCTGAACTTTTAGATATTCAACTGTACAGGGCTGGTTTGTAGCATCCAATCCTGATGAGTGTAGGATCAAAAACATTGCTAAAAACAAACACAGAGTCAATGCTAAGTTCTATGTTGTAAAGCAATTACAATGTACTACACTAATAATACCTTCATATTTTCCTCTGAATTTCTCATCCTTTTTAAAAATAGGAGGCATCTCCTAATTCCATGAGTGCAAATTTGGGAATCAAGCAGACACAAATGATTTAATTTTTTTGGCTGAAGTTGCATTATATTTTTTTCCACGAGGCTTGGCAAGTTTTCTTGTTTAATCTTACCAAATTTACTGCAGTAAAATTGCCTACTACACCCCTATGGCATCTCTAACATCTGATTTCTGCTCTCTCTTACCATGCACCATTCCCAGAACAACTTGTCACTCAGCAGATATCCACTGAAAAACTGACAGCACTTGCACCTGTGCCACCTTTGAAAGGCTCTGTGCACCCAGACGAGTGTTGGCAATCCAGTGTGGCCCCCTTAGCAGCAACATCATGGCACAGCTGCCCCAAAAAAGCCACACTGCTCACAGCACATGGCTGGATTCCATTGGACATATAATCCCATCTTACACCTAAGTTGCTGTTTAACCATCAGGCCACATACTTGAAAGGTGTACAGAGGTACGTAGGCTATGGACACGTAAAGTATTCCCAATGCCCACTATAGACTCATAGCTTGTTATTGGCCAGTAGAAGGACATCAGATTCGGCAACAAAAACAAAGTTGCAGGAAAAGCTCAGCAGGTCTGGCAGCTTCTGTGAAAAGATCAGAGTTAACATTTTGGGTCCGGTGACTGAGGAAGGGTCACTGGGCTCAAAACGTCAACTCTAATCTCTTCACAGATGCTGCCAGACCTGCTAAGCTTTTCCAGCAACTTTGTTTTTGTTCCTGATTTACAGCATCTGCAGTTCTTTCGGTTTTTATCAGATTTGGCAAGTAAGTGGACAAATACAAATATGAGCTTTCATTTACAGAAAGCAAAAGGGGATACAAACAAAACCAATCGAGGCTGAATTTAACCCCAACAATGCATCATGACCAAAAATTAATTTGCAGTCCACAATTGTCTGCTACCTCTCATCCATTGGAAGTGGGTGTGAATGATGTTTTGTTTGGCCCGTAGCACCAGACACAGCTGAGCTCTGACAATGGGCAATACAGCTTCTTCTTCCTCCTCAGACTGTTCCCATTCCACAATCCCTGGTGGAAATAACCTAAAACGGGAAAAGAAGGACCATTTCTTAGATCTCAGAACAGTTCAGGATGGCATACCCTGCAGCGGGGCTGAGCACGTCACCATAAATCGACACATGTTCCACATGGATCATGAGGGACATATCGGCATTGTTGATCCACTCCAGGCTCTGCATGCTCTAACTTGAAGGTGCCACCCAGTGTCTTCAAGAAATGTCTGCCTGCAATACACCAGCACCCTACCTACAGTGGACATCAAATACTCCAGCTCACACTGCATTCAGGACAGACCATCATTACAGATAGGATAGATGAGGATGAATTGGCACAGCTTGCACAGGACCCTTGGAAATGGATGAACTGTGGTTACCCTTCAGCTTCACCTTTGGCCTTTCGTAACACCTTGCTGCTCAATTCCACATTATTGAGATGTCCAAATATTTCTGATACCCCCCACCCCCACCCCCACAACTGCCACCCAAGTCCCCTCCTGTAAAGCCATCCTGAAAGTTGGACACCCAGGACCATTTTCGTCCCAGAGCTGTGACCAACTTTAATGAGCAGTCTCTGGGCATGACGGACCAGACCCCTGATCATTTCCGACTGACAATACTGGGTTCCCCTGACTGCTTGTACAGGCAGTCACGGACTGACCACTGAACACCTCGCCAGACTGTACTGAGGCAGCTCCCCTGACAGTAACACTGAATGACAGTACCGGAACTCTCTCCACCTGACCAGACTGAGGACTAGCCCCCAACCAGTTTCCAACATGGCCAATTTAATGAATTTACGTGCAGTGTGTTTGCAGTGCAGGCAGCTAGCTCTTGCTGTCCAAGTTAGATTGATGTTTGGATGTGTCATTTGTCAAGCTGTCACTCTTTCCAGAAAAGTCCCTAAACAACAAGCAATCTTTGAGTGTCTGCACTAAAGAGCAGCTCAAAATGTCAGTAACAGCCTTTGGCTAAAACTGCAAAATGCTAACAGGCACAACATGGCAACGTGTTGCAAGCCATGGATGGTGTGAGCCTATATGTAGGTCCTGAGCGAGCGAGCAGGCCTGAGATGTAGCCTGGTTCAATCCATAAGCTAGGTATTTGTACCTGGACACAAAGCATCACTGCTGAGGCCTTTCAATGCTAGTTGCCAGTATACCCTACAAAGTATTTCGTCTGAGGTATTCCACTGTATCAGAGAAGTACTATGATAGTTTGGCAGATGCCAACGTCTTTAGATCAGGGCCTGGTCTTGAACTGCACTTTCATCTCAGACAACATGGAGGCTGTTTGGAACAAAAGCAAGCTATGTTCACTAGGTACACGTTGGTTTCCGAGTTGAATTTTCCAGATATTGAACTTGTTGGGCAAGTTTGTTAAGATAGAAAGTTGATTAATGGGTTACTGTCAAATGTTTAATGAGCAATAATCACTGTCAGTTGGCAACACACTGCTGCCTAGCTTGAATCTTATCACGTCACTTCTGAAAAGCATAAATATGGCTCAAGATGCTCCCAATGTCGAGAAGGGCCTCACTGGACTGATCCGACTGCACATCTCGCCATAGCCCAAGTCGCTCAAACCCCTTTAAGATTTTGTTGACAATGTGAGCACAATGCTGCATGAAAGAGCTCATGCTTCAGCATCTACTTCAATGTTTTCAACGCATTCAGTAGGGATCAATACATGCAGACGGATTTCGATTGATTGAGTGAGTGGGCAAAAATCTGGCAGGAGTATAATGTGGGTAAGTTTGGAGCTATTCATTTTGGCAGAAAGATTGAAAAAAAAACAATATGATTCAAAACAGAGAACAACTATAGAATTGAGGTAGAGAGGAATGTAAGTGTTCTAGTGCTTAAGTCACAAAACATGAGTATGCTGGTACAGCAAGTAATTAGAAACACTTATGGAATACTATCATTTATTGAGAGGAAATGAACAGTAAAGTTAGGACATTCTGTCTCAGTTAAATACAGCATTAATAAGGCAACATTCTGAATATTGTGTGCAGTTTTGATTTCCTTATTTAAGGATCTAAAGACATTGGAGATGGATCAGAGAAAGTATAGTAGGTTGATACCTGGAATAAGTGTGTTGTCCTTCGAGGAAAGTTTGGACAGACTTGGTAGTTTTACTGGAGTTTAGAAGAGAGAGGGGTCATTGAATTGAAGTATATAAGATGCTGAACAGCCTTTACAAGCAAAGGATGTTTCCTTTGTGGGTGAGCCCAGAATTAGGGACCACTGTATAAAAATTAGGGGTCAGCTTTTCAGGATAGAGGTGATGTATTTTTTTTCCCCTCCAAGGGCATTGAAGACAAGGTAATTAAATACTTTTAAGACAGAGTTAGATAGATTTTTGTTGGACAACAAGCTCAAAAGATTCAGGGTAGATGGGAATGAGAAACTCAAAACATGATCAGAGCATCCATGATCTTACTGAATACTGGAACATGCTGAATAGCCTACTCCTGCCCCTAGTTTTTGGTGTTTAACAACACTCAAGAAGCTCATTACCAGAATTTTTTTTAAAATCCTACTTGATCAGAACACATACACTTCTTTAAAATATTCATTGCCCATCTGGTAGCATGTGCCATCTGCAAAGATGTACTGCAACAACTGTGTCAGTTCTGCACACCCTTCTATTTGCTGAAACCACCCATGCACTGCAGCAACACTCAAACCTGCAACCTCCACCACCGATAGAAGGACAAGAGCAGCAAGGAACATTACATCCGAGCCACACACCAACTGGACTTGGAACCACATTGCTGCTCCTCCATTATTGCCAGGCCAAATCTTGGAACTCTCCTCTAAACGGTACAGTGGGTGTACCTACCTCCCATGGACTGCAATGGTTCAGGAAGACAGTTCACCAGCACTCTCAAGTGCAATTAGAAGTGCACACTAAATGTTGGCCTGGAGACATCCATAGCCCATGAACAAATAAGTATTATTCCCAAAAATAAAAGCACTTTGTCTCTCTACAGCTCCACATTTTGTTTTCCTTTATTCATTCACAGGATGAGGGCATCGCTGGCCAGGCAACATTTATTGCCCATCCCTAATTGCTCAGAGGGCAGTTAAGAGTCAACCACATTGCTGTGGGTCTGGAGTCACATGTAGGCCAGACCAGGTAAGCATGGCAGTTTCCTTCCCTAAAGGGGATTAGTGAACCCGATGGGTTTTTCCCGACAATTAACAATGGATTCACAGTCATCATTAGATTCTTAATTCCAGATATTTTATTGAATTCAAATTCCACCATCTGCCATGGCAGGATTTGAACCTGGGTCCCCAGAACACTGTGTCTTTGGATTAATAGTCCAGCATTAATACCACTAGGCCATCGCCTCCCCTAACAGACATCGTCCATGCAATGCTAAAGTTACAGAAATATTTGCATTTCTACCGCAGGATAAAAATCTGAAACAGGATCAATCAAAACTTTGCAAACAATTTTAATATGTGAGCTTTACAAAAGTTCAAAAAATAACGTACTTAAATGGTATACGAGACAATGTTGTTTATTTATAATAAAAATAAAGTGCATTTTACATTATAACATTAAAATACTCCAAGTTAAGGAAATCTGATAGAGGAATGGACATGAGACATTACATTAGTGATCATTTAGAGAATAAAACCATGAAGAAAAAATTCAGTGTAAGTGTGCGAATGTAGTGAAAATAATACAATGGTGAAGAAACTCAGCAGGTCCAGCAGCATCTGTGGAAAGAGAAACAGAATTGATGTTTCAAGTCCAATGGAAATTCTTCAGAACTGAAGGGGGCTGGAAAATGACAGCATTTTTGCTGTTAGCAAAAAAAAAAGGGAACAGCAGGAGGAAAAAGTTGAACAGATGGTGAGGCTGCCCACAGTAAAAGGCAACGGGATACTAATAGTAGTAATGGAGAGATATAGATGTAGAACGGGTGTTAATGGTAGATGTTAGTAGCAGAGCTGACCTATTTTCTGCTACACAACATCCATAAACACATGATACATCTATAGCTCTCCTCTACTACCATCAGCACTCCCTTTGCTTTTTGCTCCAGGCAGCCTCACCATCTGTTCAACTTGCTCCTCCTCTCTTTGTCTGCAGCATAAAAACCATAATTTTCCAGCCATCTTCAGATCTGAAGAGTTATTCGACTTGAAACATTAATTCCTGTCTCTTTCTCTCCACAGATGCTACTAGACCTGCTGCTTTTCTCCAGCACTTTGTTTTTATTTCAGAACTCCAGCTTCCATCGTTTTTTACTTCTATATGTGTAAACGTAGTGTATTGAACTTTATAGCCAGGACCATAAGTTCTACTTTACCAAAAACTGTCCCTATAAAATTTGGACATTTTTGGAACTTAATAATTGTAATATCTAGCTTAGTAGTAAGTGTAGCTGAATTCTTATAGAGACAGAAGACTATGATTACATTATGGAACACTACTTAGCTTTTCCTATGAAATTCTTTTTGTGCCATTAAAAGTGAACTATTACAATTAGCTTGAATACTGTGTAAAGGAATTTTGCATGAACACATGCTAAACATGCAGATGCTAATATCCTGAAGTTTAAGTACAAAGTCTTAGCCTTAAGTTCATGGAATCACCTTTATTTCAAAGTAACATTCCCCCACCACCCTAGTTTTATTCTCCTTCAGATTCCTGCAGGCTTTATTATTAATTGTACCAAAAGTGAGGACAGATGACTTGCTCCTATGAAAAAATACTTTTGGCAGATTTTTTGTGTGACACAGACATTCACATGGTATGGCACCATATGCTGGTGCCCCACAAGTGGCAGAGCCCTGCTTGAAAAGGATTGTCTCACCCTTTGTAATATGGACCTTCTGAATACAACTCCATAATGATCCAACATTGATTCAGAGATTTAATGATATCAAGATAATCCTGAAGCATTTTACGTTCAAGGGGGTTCAGGTACATAGTTCTTCGAAATTTGTGTCACAGATAGACAGGGTAGTTAAGGATGTGTTTAGCATGCTTCATTGCTTGGTCCTTTGAGTATAGGACAAAAACAAAGTTGCTGGAAAAGCTCAGCAGGTATGGCAGCATCTGTGAAGAAAAAAAAAAAAAAAAAAAAAATCAGATTTAACCTTTCGGGTCCGGTGACCCTTCCTCAGAACGGAGTTCCTTTTTCTTCACAGATGCTACCAGACCTGCTGAGCTTTTCCAGCAACTTCTGTTTTTGTTCCTGATTTACAGCATCTGCAGTTCTTGGAGTATAGGAGTTGGGATGTCATGTTGAGGTTGAAAAGGACTCTGAGGGAGGCCTCTTCTGGAGTACTGTGTGCAGTTCTGGTCACCCACTTATTGGAAGGATATTATTAAATTGGAGAGGGTTCAGAAAAGATTGACCAGGATGTTGCCAGGAATGGAGAGATTGGGTTATTAAAAAATAGCCTGGGACTTTTGCACTGGAGCATAGGAGGTTGAGGAGGTGACCTTCTAGAGGTTTATGTAATCATGAGGGGTATAGATGAGGTGAACAGCAAGGCTTTTTTCCTTAGTGTGGGGGGGTTAAAAATATGCCCCCTAGTTTTGAAGGTGACAGGAGAAAGTTTTAGAAAAGGACATAATGGCAACTTTTTTCTTTAAAACACAGAATGGTTTGTGTGTCAAATGAACTGCCACAGGAAGTGGTGGATGTAGGTACAGTTACAACATTTAAAAGACATTTGGAGAAGTACATGAATAGGAAAGGTTTGGGGGGGAGGGATATGCCAAGCGCGGGCAAGTGGGACTAGTTTAGTTTGGGAACATGGTCAGCAGGGACCGGTTGGACTGAAAGGTCTGTTTCTATGCTGTATGACCCTATAATTTTCCAGGATGAATCAAACCAGTCACATCAAGAAAGTTCCAAATTCAATTCGCAACGGGTCTTCAATTAACAAACTGGTCTCACACAAGCACAGTAGGAGAAGGGAAAGTACAATTCAACATAGAGGAATGAGAAGATGCAAAAATTACTGGAGTTTTCACTATTTATTGACCCTAGCTAGGTGCATGTAGATGTTGGGTGACGATAAGTTTAGTGTATATGATGCCCCTGCTCTAAAGCCATGATTCATGTGTGAATCAGGGCTATTTAGAGGAGACATCTGGAGGCTTGTACTTCCAGAAAGTTAGTTCTTTCAAAAGAGGAAGGGGAAAGAAGGTAGGGAAGATGAAGGGCAGAAAATAAGTGATAGCTAAAAATTATTACTTTTTCTTTCAAACCCCCTCCTCAGTTTATAATCATGTTTCCCAAATTAGAAGGAATGAGAGGGTAAGATCAATAAGACGTTTTAGGTTGTATCATATAAAACTGACAGCAAAGAGCTGTGAAAAGAGAAATTTGGCAAGCCCGAGTGATGATGACCACTTGTATTGTACAACCTGTACATCATCAACACAAAATTACTAGCTCCACTTTACAACAATCACTATACTTCAAAATCATTTCATTGCATGGCCTATCAGATTAGAGCAATTGAAACTGTTTTCCTTTCCCCCACTTTTACATCAAGTATTTAAGGCCAGGAGACTCGCACACAAAAAATATGATGGGCAAGGTTTACATTTTTAAAGAAAGTGGCAGCATTTAGGCAGAGATCAACAAATGCTGAAAGAGACACTGACTCCTTACAACCTTAGCCTGTTGGAAATCACATCTGCCTAAAAGGCCACTTACTTAATGTCAATAGTTAACAGTATCACGAGGCACTTCACATACAAAAATACATTAGAGTGAAAACTGCTGTGAGGCAGTAGAAAGGCGTTAATGGAAATCCCCTCTGCAGAAAGCAGCATTTCCCAGACAATATTTGGCAAGTTATGTTCTGGGCAGCAAAGTCACAGAATGAAATCAGTATGCTGGCATTAATTGAGGAGCATTCAGATATTACTATGCTTACATCCTACAGCAGTACCGTGATGGTGGCTTCCTTCTAGTTAGGAGGCAAATCTGTTGGTCCCGGTTTAAAACCGGATGTTGATTGCAATCCTCATTTGCTTCGATTTGCTCGATTCTTTTGCGTAGCTTCTTCAGCTTTACTTTGTCTCCACTCACAAATGTCTGCAAAGTCACAGGACCGACATTTCCATGCCTCCTCAATATCCACACCCTTGGCCTCCCTCTGGCCCTTCCAGAAGGAGCAATAATGCTTTAGCTCACTTTTAACCCACTCCTCTTCAAAGTACACCACTTCTGTTCCAATTAGAGAGGCATCCGCTTGGTAACAGTATTCTATCTTCATGGTGTCAATATTGGGGATCTCTGCATACGTCAGGTTTAGCAACATTAAATCCAGAAGGTCACCGAACGTGTTTATGGAAAATCCCACCTTTTGGGCATGCATCAGAATCTCCGAACTAAACGGCTGCTCTGTCCGTAAGTGAAGGTGGTCAGTGATGGTTTCCTTGTTCAGTTGGCCTTTTATCATAGCCTCGAAGAGAAGTTTGTATATGTTAACCTGGTAATAAAAGGATTTAGTTTTATGAAATGATCAATACACAGAGCCAACATCACTCCAATATAGACTTAACATCTCCACAGATGCTACCAGAACGGAGTTTCTTCACAAATTTCTGTTTTTTTGTTTCCGATCTCTAGTATGCGCAGTTCTTTATTTCACTTCAACATACCTTTGCTATTCATTTCACACACCAAAGGTCTTCATTAGTTCCCTGGTTGTGCAGCATATTTTTTTTTAAAAAGCTTTATAATCCATGCAGAAATGACATGACAGTAATTTATAACTGCTCCCCAACTGGAATGTAGTGACATCATGTTCAATTTACCGAATGTGATCACAAAACACAACAACACCAGGAAATAAATAATGGCATTTAAACAGTGGGTTTTCTCATTGAAGAACTTCCCTTTTTAAGAGTGCTAAAACTGTTCTGTGTGGAGCCACAGCAGCGACAGTGCAGCAGCAGTGCCCCACAAGTATTAGTGAGAAATTGGTTGAAGGAGGAATATTGATCAGCGAGACTAAATGAAGCAGTATTTTGAATCAGGCAGCTATCACATTCGATAACTATAATTACAGGATTAAAAACCAGCACATGATAGAAATAAGAGCTTTTCCAATTGATTTCTGTAGTTGGAGAGAAACCAAGCTTCGTGTTTCCAATATATGCATAGTGTAGACACATGTAACAGCCAATTACTGTTGAATTTACGTATCAAGTCATTTAAGTCCAACCAGCAACTAATCAATCTACATGAAACCCTGTAAATCCTGACTCCTGCTTTATCAAACTGTACTGAATCACAGAGAGGTACAGTGGAGTACCAAGATTTTGTAGCTAGAGATTACAAGACAAAAATTGTATGGAAATATTATCTTTACTGTTTTTAAGGATATAACAACATTTTCTATAAATTCTATAATACAGAATTTTATAGTTTTAGAATATGATATTTTTAGAAGAGAATTAATCAAAACAAATATCAGGTCTAAAGTCTTGACACTTCAGAAAATCTAATCGCCTCCAAGATTTTTCGTAGTTAAATCATTAATAGTTGTTCTGACCATTATCTTGAGTTAAGAATATTAATGAATAAGTGAAAATACTTTCAAAGGGCATTGAGAGTTACCAGAGATTAATCTAAACGTGGTTCTCAAGCTGGAGACTACAGACTCCTTTCCAGGGGAAATCAGTAAGTGAACAAATGGGCAGCAGCCAGAGATGGGTCTGTTGTAAGGTCGGGGGGAGGAGTGAAGTGTAGAGGCCACAAATGATGTGCAGAGATGCTGGTTATCTCGAAGCACAAGAGCGTATGGAGCAGCATTCAGAGTTCATCGGGTAGACTTGCAGTCACCAAGGCTCCTGGTAGGCATTGGGTGAGTTCAGCTTGCTCACAAAAGGCAGTCTTTAAAAATAAATGTTTTAAAAAGGAAGGCACATTCACTTACCTAAAAACATTTCTAAAACACAACATGCACAACTTGAAAAAGAAATATCATACAATATTATGACCATAATTATTAACATATTTAAAGTTGGTCCTTCATCAACAAAGCTTGAGAACTACTGGCTAAACACAGAGCAAGAAAGGAAATGGAACCAAAGACAGCAATAAATCTAAGGAATTTTTTTTTTTTTTTGAAAAAGAAAGAGAACCCCAATGTTTTCCATGTCTAATTGAACTACTGGTGTGAGCAGATAATATTTAAATTTGACTTCTCCTAAACTCCAGCAACAGTGCACTGGACGTGTTTGTTCACTAGAGACTTGATAGGAGGCTTAAAACTTTCTGACCCATAGGTAAGACAGCTATCGAATAAGCCCAAGAGACAGTTCATGAAAGTATCTCCACAATCCCAACTCTGAAATTGCACTAATGTGCAGAGACTCCATGAACATATTGAACTGTAAAGTTAAAGTTAGTGTTGTGTTGATAATGACCCTACTAAGCAGTGGTACAAAACATAATTAGGATATATGCTTTATCAATCCGATTACCAGTCATTGTTGTTCCAAATGGTGTAAAGCATGATGCGAAAGGATGTTGTTGGTGTTTTAAATAACCCACTAAAGTGAGCCATGAAAACAGATCCTTTCCAAATTACTGCACCCACTTACTTGAAACAGATGACTCTTCCTTTGAGCTGCACTGGGATATGTTCGTTGACCACGAGTTTTCAGTTCACACAATTCCAGTTCACCTTTGGAATTATAGCACAGCTCATCAACAACACCAACAAGAAAAATCCCCTCTAGCTCTCCAAACACTGGCAGCTCTCGGACACGCTCTCCTATTCAATACACAACCAAATCACTTTGTTACAGTACAGTTGAATGGACAGCCACAATGACATTCACTACTCATGCTGATGGTTAGAAATTTGAGTCCTATGTTGACAATTACTCAAACTTGATTATCTTTCAGCTAGACAGTTTTCAGCTGTTTGCATAGGTGGTACATCTCACCATTATGATGCTGCTCATATTCTGAAGCGGCAAATTTTTTAAAAATCCTATCCAGCAGGTTTGGCAAAGTGGATGATGCTGTGGAAAATGCTACCAAAGCAGATTTCCTGGCTACAGTAAGATACTTTGAAGTATAAAATATGTTTGAGTTTTTTTAAATGATGAAAGAAGTTTCCTACTTTTAAGGTAAATACCTGACAATATTTTAACATACCTGCTTGCAAGAACTGGATCATTGAGAGAAGATTAAATATCTTCACAGCCCAGCTATCTTCCCGGCTCTCTACATTTATCGGGACAATATCCTGGATCTCCAATTCTAAAACAGAAGAAACAGAAATACACTTCACTGAAACTTCTCCTTTAATACCAGGACTACAGCACACAGCAGAATTGCAGTGTGAATTAAACTGGATAGATAGGGAGAGTTTAAGTCTGCCACTAAAAGTTCGAAAAATATCTACATTAAAAAGAAAACATTTCAGTCCCAGCCCACTTTGTTCATTAATGGAGCAGCACTGGTTCTTAAATAATTGTCAGGAGCAGTGATTCAATTAAATCTCAAGATCAGCCTTGGGTCTGCCAAGGCAGCGGTTTATTTAACAAAATGAACAGGTAAATGGGGCCTCATTCAGATGCAGAATCAGCTTCTGATTCCTCCTCTATTCATGTTAGATTATTGCAGAAAATAGTGCATAATACACAGTTCCAACTTCTGATCATTACTCTGTGTCCCTGCTGGAAAATGTGTGCCCTATAAATTATTTAATAGGAAATGGTCATTGTTGGCAAGGTCAGAATTTGTTGCCTATCCCCAACTGCCCTTGTACCGAGTGGCTTGCTCGGCCATTTGTGAGGGTAGTTAAGAGTCATCACATTGCTGTCAGTCGGATTCTCACATGAGCCAGACCACATAAGAACAGCAGATTGCCAGATGAGTTTTTATGACAATCATTCACCATTACTAAGATTTCGATTCCACCAGCTGCCACGATGGGTTTTCAATCAGTAATCCCCACAGCATTAGGTTGTACCTCTGGATTACTAGTCCAGTGACATTACCACTACACCATCGCCCCCTAAATATGTGGATAGGATTGGACTTAGTTGCAATGCAGCTCAGAACCAAATAACAAGCCCAAGCTTGGAAGCAAACACAGTCAAAGATGAAGTGACTGTGGACCCTCGGCACATTCGTGCCTTTAGAAGAAGGGGGATGAGAAACAAGAAATAAAAACATTGAAAAATAGATTCCCTCACCTATGAGCTGTATACGTAGGAAAATCACCAGGAAGTCAAGCGAGCAGATCAGTGCAACTATTATTTAGCAATATTTTCGGTGCATGCATAAAAGAGTAATAAGTCTGTTGACCATAGAGAACAAAACATTTTAAACTTAAAGTGGAAATTAAAAAGGGACACTTGCAAAAGTACACTGTGTATTTATGGTGCTAGGTTTAAACAAAAGTCAACTGCCAACAATTTAAAAAGGTGCTACTGAAAAATCAATATTTTATTTACTTGGAAGTACAGGATCACTTTATCTCTCTTACCCCTCCCAATTTTGAAGCTATTATATGCCTGTGTTGATATCAGTTGACCTTTGATCAATGGGGCCGGGATGGATAAATACAGCCAACCAGTAACAGGGAGCTTTTGAACTGGATGTTAGAAGGTGCACATGAATAACACTTGGCCGTACCAGCTTTCTTTTCTCTTTTCTGGAAAGCAGTTTATTCCTGTTTACTGATCTAAAAGGCACAGCATAGGATTTCACAGGACATGTGGTCCATGCCAGCTCCACTCAAGATGCTTCCAGTCTTTCCTCATCTAAATCCTCTATTCACTTTCTCACATTTGTCTCGTCTCCACTTAAGTACATCTTTCTATACACCTTAAACACTCAGTGTGGCACCAGGTTCCACAATCTCACCACTCTTTAGATGAAGAGGTTTCTTCATTCTCCACTAGATTTCTCATTGATTTATATTAGTGATCTCTGGTTAGGCTATTCCCCCACAACATTCTTTTTGCATCCACTCTAATTTTAAAACCAGTATTAAATCACCCCTCCCACCGTCAGCCAGATTTTGTTTTCCAAGAGCATAGAATTGTTGATGAAGGTCTGCATCTTAGGATCGTGTGGTTTCCAGCTATTACACCATGATGCTGGGACAAGCAATGTTCATTTCAGCGTTAAAAAAAAAGTTACCTCTTGCCAGGTGTAGACAGCTACCAGCTTTCACAACTGGAACTTCTTCTCGCAGTTGTTCAATGTGTGGCAGTTCCAGTCCATAAACCACTTGCTGCTCACACCAAACCTGTCTACTCAGGTCAGTGACATTCAGGTATTTTCGGCCAAAGCGCTCCAGCGGGATCCTTTCATCCTGCTTTCTCCGTTTAGTGCTACTTCCCTCAGGTGGCATTTCGCTTTTCTGTTCAGACTGATTGGAGGATTGCTCATTTCCACTGGGGTCAGGGGAGGGCAAGAGAAAGATTGATTGCCCAAATTTACTTTTCAATTATGGGGGCAGAAGCAAGCAAAGAACACCTCAGCATCGAATTCTCCTTTTAATAGGAAATACTTGTAATTAATGACCAGCTGTCAAAACCAGGGGTGATGTGTGGTGTTAAAGCATGCAATTATGGGACATTTTAATTATTAGATTGCTCTACCTGAAACAGAAACAGTTTCCTTCTCCTAAATAATCACTAGAACATAGGAGCAGGAATAGGTCATTCAGCCCTTTAAGTCTGTACACCATTCTAAATCATGGGTCATCAATTACCTCAATGCTATATGCTCATGTTGTCTCAAATCCTTCAATGTTATTGGTAACTGGAAATATATCAATTTTTGCCCTGAATTTACTTAATGACTGAGCTTACTCAGCCCTCTGAGGGAAGAGAATTCCAAAGATTCAACACCCTCCTCGTGAAGTAGTTCCTCCTCATCCCAGTCCCAGACAGTCTCAGAATAAGAGGCTATGTCACCCAGTTCTAGACACCGCAGACAGAATAAGCATCCTTTCTGTATATACAGTTTATCCCTTTTAAGAACTGTGTAACTTCCTATGAGACTGCCTCTTGCTTTTCTAAATTCTGAACAGAGAATACAGGCCAAGTATCCTCGTAGAACAGTCCGACAATCCCAGGGTTTAATCTGGTGAATTTCCACTGTATTCCCTCTACGGAATGTATATCCTTCCTTAGGCAAGGGGACCAGACTGCATTCAATAGTAGAGGTATGGTGTCACCAGTGTTCCTATACAATTGAAGCAAGACTTCTCTTGCAATTAAGGCAAATACACTATTTGTCTTCAGAACTACTTGTTGCACCTGAATGCTAGCTTTCAGTGACTTATGAAAAAAGATGTCTTTCAACACAACACTTTCCAAACTTTCACCCATTTAGTGTTTTGCACCTTCGTTTCTTCTTTCATTTCACCGAAAAGTATTAAAAAAGGATTTCACAAGAACTGCAATTGCCAGTGTTGGAGCCTGTAGGAAGGCACCAACAATGTTTTGTTTAACATTGCTAGAACAGCTGAATTGATAAAAAGCGTTGACACATTCAGCTATTTAAATGATAAATGAGCAATCTAACCCATATCTCCAAGCCAAGACTTATTATAAATGTACTATAAGGATTAGCCACAGTAATATATAAATGATATTAAATACTTAAAAATTACCTACAAATATCTTCAACAGTTCCTTGTCCAGTACAGCAAGATTCAGCAGATCTGCTAGAAGTGTGACCATCATCTCCCTCATTTAGTTCAGGTCTGTCTAGGAGATCAGAAATTAAACAAACAGGTCAGGATACATATTTCTGTAAACTTTACACATTCTCTTTTCAAACTGATTTAAAATTTCAGTTGTGCCAGAACTGAAAACCTATACTTCCCTCCAACTGGCTACAAAAAAGTTACAAAGCTGTATAATACTTCAGGAAATGTATATCTGATATTATAACTTCATACAACTATTAAGAAACATTCAGCTTGTTGAACTTTAAAGTAAATTGCATGCTCGTTCAAAAAAAAAATAAACTGGTTGACAGATAGAATGATACATAAGATTTAATGACAATAGGTGATGCAATTTATCAATAATTTCACAACTTTAAATGCATTCTTGGGCTGTCAATATTATTCACAAAAACAAAAATTCCAGCATCAATATCTGCCTAGTTGGTCAACATTTAACCCTCAACTCACCACTGAAATAGACAGTCGGTCATTGTCTCATTGCTGGATTTGGTGTGTGTAAATTGGCTGCCATTCTTTCCTACATTACAGTAACATTTCACAAATATTTAATTGGCTGTGAAGTGCTTGGAGACCTCCTGAGGTGCTACATAAATTCAAGTCTTCGTGCTTCCACGCAACCTGTACTTATTTCCAATTCTAGGCACTTACTACATCATGGGACAGCAATTACCACGAGTACTCTTCCATCATGCTAGCCTACATCAGATGGCTTGGGCCAGCTGACCACACATAGGCCAGTGTGCAGCATTGAGATAGGGAGCTGGTGGGAAGAATATCAGCAAGATAAAAAAAGGTGTACACAGTCAGGTTGACTAAACAAGATTTGATGTGGGTGCTTTCATGGGTGAGAGGGGGCAAAATAAAAGCGAAGTGATATCTGATGTGCACACATATAAAATCCAAACTCTACCAAATGATAAATGAATATTTATCAAGTCTATTCAGTCATAACTGGAAATAAGATCAGAGTCTTAAGTTTGGACAAAGAAAATTTATAAGTATACAGATAAATAGGGGACACCATTAGCTTATATGAACTTAAGTCTTCTATTTCATGAGTGTCCCAAGTTACTCCACAGGAGTGTTATAAAACAGAGACATTCAGTCACAAAGGTGACATTAAGTCAGATGACTGAATGATTGGTCAAAGAAGTAGGTTTTAAAAATGGCTTAAAGGAAGATACAGATGGGAAGAAGTGGGGACCTTGGGCCTGAGGCAACAGAGGGGATGTCTATCAATGATGGAACAGTTAAAAATGGGAATGCCCAGGCGGCCAGAATTAGAGGGACACATATCTCAGGGAATCGTGGGACTAAATGGGTTATTGAGGGATTTGAGAATAAAGGATGAGAATTTTTCAAGTGATTGTGGGTCAGCAAACACAGGAGTGATAGGGAAACAAAACCGGATAAAAGGTTAGGAAAGTTTTGGAAGACTTGGAGCAAATGGAGTTTGGAATATAAGAGACCAGCCAGGAGTGTGATGGAATAGTCAAGTGGTAATAAAATCATGAATGAGTGTTTCAGCAGCAATGACAGACTGCCATGCTTGCATCAATGGGTAGGTTCTTTTATAGTGAACAAGTCCAGGACTGGAACTTGAACCCAGGCCTTTCTGGCTCAGAGGTAGGAAGACTACCCATTGAGCCACTTAAGCCCATACCTTGATGCTGACACACTATATCAATCATAATGAAAATATATTTTGCCATCATACATAGGGCACAGAATTCAGGAAGCTCAGCAAGATGACAACACGCCTTTTTAAAAAAAAAACTATGATTTGTTGATAGAAAAAAATCTCAAGCTATTTCAATGAGCGAGACAGGTGATGAACTATAAAGACAGCTTAGGAAAAACATAGAAGTGACAAAGGATTAATCAAAAGATGGGTAGTTTAAAAAGAACGCACAAAATTGGCACTGTTACATCTCACTGGGATAGCATGTGAGCAATCAAGCTTGGCTATTCCTACAGTCATCACAAAATTTAACATAACAGCTCACAAAATTCCCCAATTTATCTGTCTTTCAGACCCAGGTTGACAGAAATCATGGACCAGGTTTCTGTACTTAAAAATTAGTATTTATTACAAATAAATAGATTTGGCTACAGGTAAATAACTATGAACCATCAATGTATAACTCTACTAGTTGAAACTCTAAGCACCTTATAAAATTCCCCTATACACACACCTACAGAGAGAATATAAAATACAGGAGTCATAGGCAGAGGAAGGCAGTCTAAATGGTCCCTGCTCAGCTTGTCCTGGCTTGCTGCTCCTCAACATTCCAAGTACTTTCATTTGCTCACAGGAGATACAGAGTGACTAGTTCACACTAATAAAGTATCTCACTTATTGGTTAACCACCACAGCTTACAGCAATTGAAGGGAAATAGACTTTCTTCAGGCGCAAAATGTTTTTACTGCAGAGAGGATACCTCCTTCTTTTCTAGAGGTCCAATGACTCCTACCGAAACATTCACACCCACAAGATGGTCAGTTACCTGGGAGCCAATTACACAGTTGTTGACAGGTGTTTGTTATTGGTCTGGTGGGTAGTGACCAGTTGTCCATCAGCTATCTGTTGCCTGACAAAAGTTCCATTCGTACACACCCCTTGGCTCAGGTTTGCCTGCAACTAGACTTCCCCTCTGCTTGAGCAAACAGCAGTTTAAAATAGCATTTACAATGAAGGTCAAGTAACTTGCTTCTAAAAAAAGTGTAGTATTCCTTTCCAATATCGTTGGTTTTTAAAACAAACAAACAAACAGTCTGTTCCGTTTTCAGTCCACAAACAAAATTACAGAAAAAATATACAGTATTTACAGCCTATCCTCAGGACCTCAAAACAGATTCTGCATTACTTTTTAAATTGTAACTACTGTTGTTTACTCATAAATCTGATAACCAATTCGAACACAACAAAATCCCACAAACAGAAAATCAGAGAAATGATCAGTTGAAATAATAGAAAATGCTGGAAAAACACAAGTCAAATTCCACCTATGGTGTAAATCTGAAATTAAGAGAGAAAATGTAGGAAGAAAGACATCAAAGGAGCAATACAGCTAATATTTGAGCTAATATTCAGCAAAGCTGAACTGGACTTGAAATGTTTATGGTTTCTCTCTCCACAGATCTGCCAGACCTGTTGATTTGCTCCAGCATTTTGTATTAGGCCAATTTTTGTTTTTTGTTAATCGAGAAGAATGTTGGTCAGGTTACTAAGAAATTGCCTGCTCCTAAAAGGAAGACTGGCATCTACACAACACATTCCACAACGACAGGACATTCCAGAGCACTTCACAACAAATGAAGCCATCTAAAAAGTGTAGCTGCTATAGTAATATTGGCCAATATGCACACAAGCTCTCACAAGCAATAACATGAGAATGATTTGATTTTCTGTTGTGGGATGTGACCTCCCTATTATTGTTCATCCCTGCCTGCCCTTGAATTGTGGCTAGCAGACCACATGGAGTCAACCACACAGTTGTAGGTCTGGAGTCACATATGAGCCAGAGTTGGTAAGAATGACAGTGAAGTAGATGAGGTTTTTAACAGCAACTGACAATAGTTTCACAACACAAGTTTTCAACAGAGATAGCAGGAACTGCCGATGCTGGAGAATCTGAGATAACAAGGCGTAGAGCTGGATGAACACAGCAGGCCAAGCAGCATCAGAGGAGCAGGAAAGCTGACGTTTCAGGTCTGGACCCTTCTTCAGAAAGAAGGGCCCTTCTTCAGAAGAAGGGTCCAGACCCGAAACGCCAGTTTTCCTGCTCCTCTGATGCTGCTCGGCCTGCTGTGTTCGTCCAGTTCTACGCCTTATTATTCCAGTTTTCAACTCCTGATTTTTCAATGAATTAATTAATTTGACTTTTCGCAAGGTTGAATTAAAAGGGTTAGTCTCTAGATTACTAATCCAGTGATATTACCACTAAATCACAGCCTCCCTAACTGCTGATTGAGGGATAATTACTGAACAGATGAGTGTATTGGAAGTAACTTCCCTGCTCTTCCAATGAGTGTGCTATGCTCTTGGTACTGCACCAGAAGGGAAGGTCAGCCTGAACTCCAATTCTGAATGCTACTTGAACGCAGACCCTTCTGAGTCACAGGAGTGTTTTTAGTTGCTCGTGGAATGTGGGCACCACTATTTTGACAAGCATCTATTGTCATTTCTGTGGATCTGAAGTCACACCGAGGCAGCAGTTTCCTTCCCATAAGACATTATTTAACCACATGTATTTTTTCCCAACAATTGACAGTCACCGTTAGACCTTTAACTGCAGATTAGAAATTGGGTTTCTGAATTAATAGTCTAGCAGTAATAACATTAGGCTATTGATTCCACTGCTAACGAATCTTTAAACAGCCACCTGAAAAGGAAAACAGTTAACAGTAGGGCCCCGGGTAGTATTGTTGAACAGACAGACCTAGGGGGTTCAGGCACCCAGTTCTTTGAAAGTTGCATCACAGGTAGACAGAGTGGTTAAAAAGGCATTTAGCACACTTGCTTTCATTGCTCAAACCACTGAGTATAGGAGTTGGGACATCATGTTGAGACTGTACAGGACATTGGTGGAGTCACTTCTGGAGTACAGTCTTCAGTTCTAGTCATAGGCTGGGACTTTTTCACTGGAGTGTAGGAGGTTGAGAGGTGAACTTATAAGAGGTCTATAAAATCATGAGGGGCATAGATAAGATGAATAACAAAAGTCTTTTCCCGAGGGTGGAATATCTTTAAGGTGAGAGAAGAAAGATTTAAAAGGGACCTTGAGGGACAACCTTTTCCACATGCAGTTCTGAGGAAGAGGACCCGAAACGTTCACTCTGATTTCTTCCTTCACAGATGCTGCCAGAACTGCTGGACTTTTCCAGCAACTTCTGTTTTTTTTCCACACGCAGAGTTGTTCGTATGTGGAATGATCTGCCAGAGGAAGTGGTAGGTGCAGGTACAGTATAACGTTTAAAAAACATTTGAACAGGTACATGAATCGGAAGGGTTTGGAGGGATATGGTCCAAATGCAGGCAAATGGGACATGTTAATAGTTTGGGAAATATGTTCGGCACGGTCGAGTTGGACCGAAGGGTCTGTTTCCGTGCTGTATGCTCTACAACAGACAGGATCAGCTTCACTGTAATGCTTCATCTACAACTATCAATGAACCAGGTACCACATTCGGCGCAGAACAAATCCAATTCCAATGCGAGGAGCTCCGCGTCACTAAGCTCCGGCTGCATCGTTCCAGTCGACTTCCGGCAAGTTTGTCCGTCCGCCTCAACCATCCCTCCAGCGCCTTCGAAGGTCGGTTCCGCCTCGGAGTTCATACTTCAGCCGCACTGAAACTATTCTTTACATTCCAAAACCGATCATCTCTCATTGCTTCCGCCGCCCCCGAGCACGGCTGAGAACATCACGGCTCTAAAACTGGGAACGGAAAACCAGAAGGCCGCCCGGCATTTTGTAGCCGCAGCCAGACGAAGCTCAAACCGGGCGCAAAGTGGGACGGCCGCGGAATGTTACATAAACCGAAGATGATTAGGGAACCGCGAAGCGAAACAGAGTCACCACCGTAAGATGTTGTTAGCTGAAAATTCCTGGAGGGTCCTTGACGATTTCAGTTTGTTTTTGTTTTAATTGGTACTGTGGTTATTTTTATGGGGACTATGTTCTTAGGCGGATGTATCAAGGGAAAGGGAAGAGGCGTTTCCATGGTGATGAGTCGTTTGGATCCTGAGAGTGACTAAAACACAACAGAGTGCAGGCTGGAGAAGTAGGATTTCTAGCTTAAAACAGTGAGAGAGAAGGGGAGATAAATCAACTAACTTTGACTGGGGAAAGAATGCGAAGAACAATAAAAAGAAAAAGTGATAGATTAAACAGGAAGCTGTCTGAGTAAGCATGAGGTACAGGCTGGCCTGTTCGCTCTAGGTGAGAGCAGTTGCTTCAAAGCAAAAGATCAAACGATATAATAATGTAATTTTTTAACGATAAAGAACTGGAGGGAATGACTATAAATTAAAATCCGGGACAGTTTGGAGGAGGAGGAAAGCGTTGAAAATAGTTTCATACTTAAATTCTGTTGCGAATGTGCTTTTGAGACCCAGGGATTAGTGCATCCAAAAATATTCTTTTGAAAATCCCTGCCCTGTAAAACAGGTCAGTAATATTAAGAAAATGAAACAAAAGATTCTTTGACATGAAAAAAAGAAAAAGGGGAAATTTATGAAATTGGATGCAAAATTGCAGGTTGAGCAAGATCAATAGTTATCTAGGAATGGAGGATAAAATACCTACCAGCAAATGTAAGATGAAGTCAACCACAAATCTGAGTGTTGAATCAGAAGAAAAGAAGAAAATTAAGAAGAGAGATAAGGCAAAGAAGAAATCCTCTACGACAAGAAGAAATTCTTCAAGTACTCCATCGACTTCAGATGAGACAGTTCTGGGTAGGGCACATTTCAAATTTGGATTATTAAAATCTAAGATTGTGAAATACATGGAAGACAAGGAATACACTGCCTTTAGTAAAAGTAACCATAGAAAACTGCAAGAAAAGTGACTGGTCTGTCAGCAACTTTGATGACAGGAGATAGCATTTTCGACTTGTGCACTTATTTAGGAATATAGAAGTATACTGGCATCAGAAAGTGAATTGGAGGGAGAAAAACTATAGATATAAAAAGACAACACAGAAAATGGCAAGGCAATTATCTGTTGGCGTTCAACCAAATTAAATATATTTTTAAGTGAATAGCTCAGGAGGAAGACTAAAGCAAAGGGGAAAAAATTGGAAAGTCAAAAAACTTTGGTAAATGTTTGAAATGAGAAGTAAACAGTGGCCCACGAAGCCTTAAAATGATATAGAGCTGGTCATCAGGGTTAGGTACAGCCTTCCTACACATCAAACTTCTTTTCTAGTGAAGAGCCTGAACTCAGCACCAACTCATCTCCCATCCAATCTGCTTTTGTTTCCAGTTGTGCTTTAATATCTTGCTAATATGGATTTTTCCTCCAATTTCTTTTATCGTAGCAATGTTTTAATGACCTAAACAGAAACAAAGAGGAATAAAAATAATAAGCGCTGGAGCAGAAGAGTCCAAAGGAGAGTCATATTGGACTTGAAATGTTAACTTTGTTGCGGTCTCCACAGATGTTGCCAGACCTGCTGAGTTTCTCTTGCACCTTCTGTTTTTATTTCAAATCTGCAGCATGTGTAATACTTTACTTTTCTAAGAAAGTAAGAGGACATGCTTTACTCCTCTGTATCACAGAATGATGGCATAGTATAGCCTGCTCATTTAAGAAGGAGACCATGACATAGTTTTCATGTCACTGGTCTAGTAATGCAACAGACCAGGCTAATGGTGATACAGGTTCAAATCCCAGCAATGGCAGCTGATGGAATTTAAATTCAACCAATAAATCTGGAATTGAAAGCTAGTCTCATTGATGGTGACCATGAAAACTATCATTGACTGTCATAAAAATCCATCTGGTTCACTAATGTCCTGAGAGGGAGGGAAGTCTGCCTTCTTTGCCTAGTGTGGCCATGTTTGGCTCCTGACACGGAGCATTGTGGTTGATTCTAAACTACTGTTTAAAGTGGCATTAGCAAGCAACTCTATTCAAGTGAATTAGGGATGGGCAACAAATGCTGGTCTTGTCAATGATGTGCTTGTCCCTTAAAGGAAGTCTCCACCAGCTCTTTTAAAGAACTCACCTGCTTTTTCTTTATTTCCCTGAATCTTTTTCTCCACCAAAAATTTATCCAATTCCCTTTTCTAGGATACTGAATCTGTTCCCATCACCTGATCAGGCAAAACATTCCAAATCCCAACCACTTGTTACATTTACAGCCATCACAAGCATTTTCTTTTTTCATTTATCTAAAGCCATCATTACTTTAAACTTTGCTTTCTCTGCTCTAAATAGAACAACCTCAGTTTCTCCAGTCTATCCACATAATTGTAATTCCTCATCCCTGGAAGCAATCTGGTAAATTTCTTCTGTACTTGCTCAAAAGTATTCACATCTTTTGCAACCACAGAAGTGTGATATTTAACAATTGCGAGATATGATTTTTCTGACTGAAGTCAACTTCATAGTAAAGTTTAAGTCACTTTTTTCTGGCATTATAACAATAAATGCATTTGAGTTGTTTTTCATCTTACAAACAAATTGTTAACTGTAAACCCAGTTTACTTCCAAGCATACTTCCTCAAGATGCTGGACAAAAGAATCATTTTAAAAGTCCCAAGTTTATTAATTTAAAGATAATTTACCTTCCCCCTAATATCATATAATTTTCCATGGAGACATGAAGCAAATGGCAGTGAATATATACAAATGTATTTGGACTGTTTCCCAGTTACCATCTTGTACCAGAGCTGGAAGTTTGCTGTAGAAAGCTACCTGAAGCTCAGCAGAGCTCAGATTTATTCTGAATCCATGCAATCTGTATAATCAAGTGTTAATTGCTTCTCATTACTGTATAATTAAAACAGCATCACGCACATGGCAAAACATTACTATAATAGGAATACTGCCAAATTCTTACGGTAGGATTATTTTATTGCAAATTGTATGGATTCCAGTAGATGGCATCCTGTGATTACAAGTTGTAACAGAACAAGCATGAGTTTGCATGCCTGGAATAGTATTGCTTAATCCTGATGTGAATGCTCCCCTTACTAAGTTACAGAATAAATAGGTACCTGGGAGTGATGGAGAATATTTACAGAATCACAGGGTTCATGTGGCACTGCATGCTAAAATGTTTCGTAAATGGTAGCTGAGTCACCAGACGGAATTTCAACTGCTAACTTTCTCCAAATAGAGTTATGTTTTATTATCATTACAGATTAGCTGTTTTATTATATTATGAGTGCAGAGTAAAACTTTATAGTAGTCACACGTGCAATTTTTCATGTCAGTATATGCACGATATAACTAGAGAAATCTGGTGGCCTTATCATTTTTTTCAAAAGGGAGTTCAAATCGCCATTCTTCAATACTTTCTTTTAAATAATTCAGAGTAGCATTAGCAGACATCCTAAGCAGATTTCTTATTTACATTCCTATCAGGATATGGAAAAGATATTTTATAATCTGGAGAGAAATCAAGGAGGCGATTGTGGCTGAAGAGATAAATGACAGTAAGTTGCAGGCTCATCTAGTGATGCTGCACTTTTTTCTGATCTCAGTGTGATGGGAGTGTTGCAATGGTTCGCTGAGCAAAAGCTAAATGCTAAGCAAGTACAAAATATTCAGCAGACATCATACTCCATATCTCCATCATAGAGTTATAAGAGATATACAGCGCAGAAACAGACCCTTCGGTCCAACTTGTCCATGACAACCAGATATCCTGCATAACTCTAGGCCCACATCTGCTCCTATGATGCTGCTTGGCCTGCTGTGTTCATCCAGCTCTGCACCTTGTTGTCTCGGATTCTCCAGCATCTGCAGTTCCTACTATCTCTTCCTCTAAACCCTTCCTATTTCGTATACCCATCCAGATGCCTTTTAAATGTTGTAATCATACCAGCTTCCACCACTTCCCCTGGCAGCTCATTCCATACATGGACCATCCTCTGCATGAAAAAGTTGCTCCTTTGGTCCATTTTCTATCTTTCCCCCTCACCTTAAACCTATGCTCTCTAATTTTGGACTCCCCCACTCTGGGAAAAGATCTTGCCTATTTACCTTATCCATGCCCTTCATGACTTTATAAACCTCTATAACATCACCTCTCAGCCCCAGATACTCCAGGGAAAATACCCCAGCCTATTCAGCCTATCCCTGTAGCTCAAACCCTCCAACCCTGGCAACATCTTCGTAAATCTTTTTTGAATCCTTTCTAGTTTCACAACATCCTTCCTATAGTAGGGAGACCAGAATTGTACACAGTATTCCAAAAGTGACTGAACCAATGTCCTGTACAGCTGCGACAAGACTGTCCAGTGTCTCTCTCTGCCTGATACAGTTAAGTAAAGGGCTAGTGATATTGCAAAAAAATTATAATTCTTTCAATGATAATGAATCTTCAACCCCGAACAACCTTTGGTAGTTCCGTGTCACAACAGTCTGAGTTGCTGCAATATACTTCCAATAAACTGTCTAAAACATTTCAAAAAAAAAACTGGAGGAGGAATCACCCCTCAATTTCTAATTAAGTGCTTTTCAGCTTTCTGGACTCATGAGGTCAACAACTTCAGACCATGAACTCTTTTTTTTCCATTTTGATCATTTTTTTCCCAGTATCTATATCTTGATTTCACAATTTTGCTTTCAGTCAGAGCTGACCTTTACTCTGCTTTTCACACCAATTGTGGAATAATGCTTTGATTCTTCATTACCATTCTTCTTTGCCCTTTGTTCCTCAGTAGCTTTGATCCCTAATCCTCTTTGCCCTCTAATCTTTTTCTGATCTTCACTTTTTTCTACCTGCTCCTTTCCCTATTTTCAACAGCACAAAATCCATCATATTTTCACCTCCCTTCACTTCCCAAGAAGTTGTATTGGACTCAAAACATTAAATCTATCCATAGGTCAGGCCAGAGCTGCTGAGTTTCTTCAGTATTTTCTGCTTTTGCATTATTTTAAAACTGACTAAAATCTTCAAATATGCTATCTCTTTATAATCAATCATTGCTGTCCAGCTCCTAACAGCTTCCTTTCTCTATAGCTCATAAACACCGGAAAAGCAGTAAACGGCATACACATGCTACATCTCCAAATATTGAAACGCCGTTTAGTCAAGGGGACACCAAGCAAAATCCAAAATCTAGGAATATCAGCGATAAAACCGACAGAAGTCAGGATTCAGATGGTGATTCCCTTTACTCTGTAGATCAGCTGGCAACGTCAATAAATGAGACTTTGCGGTGGGATGGAATTCTTGAAGATCCCGTAGCAGAAGAGGAGAGGATCAGACTTTACAAGCTAAATCGACAGCTGAGGTACCTGGCTGCCCAGAAAAGTTCTTACAAGGATATTGAACTTTGCCAACAGGAGCTTTCTGCTATTCGGTCTCAGAAGGAGAATCCATATATTATCAGCAGTAAGACGTTACAGCAACTAGCCATAAAGGATCACTGCAACTCTTATTTTGTGGGCCAATGATCCTGAAGCCAAAATACATTTTTGCCCGAGCCAGAGTCCCAGTTCATATCCCTCTAATCACAATGATACTTGCAGTTATAAAGCTCTGGATACAAATATGAAAGTGGTTTAAATTGCCTTTTTTATATGGTTTCTCAAATGTTCTGAAAGAAGATCTTAGGCTGAACAACTAGGACAAAGGAAGACTGTTGCATATCAAACCTCTTCAGTTTGGATTCAGAATATTGACTGAAATTATTAAGTGAACATTGACAATCTATTTGAGCACTACAGAATTCTGTAAAGACAACACATATTGAGCTCAGTGAAGAAAAGAAATTAGGGTTTTGAATCCAATTTGTGTTTCCTTTTTTTTCAGGGGGGGAATAGGCAAAATCGTTGTATCTTAATGGGTTAATTGGATTCCAGTTACTATTAGGTAAAATCAGTAGGCATTTAAACCTACAACTGCTCAGACTAATGGTTTCTTCCCTCATTCAAATTGCTCGTTTAGGTGTTTGAACAAATTCTCTCTGTGTAAATTATAAGCTGGGAGACCAAAGTGTCATTTTTCTTCATTGTGAGGTTTTGTTGTTCTTATAAGATGCTGCTATTTTGATTTGCAAGCAAGGTACAGTGATTAGTAACACACTAATCCGCTCCTGCAATCTCTCTTGAATGGAGTGAGCAGCCATGGAGGTGAGAAATTACTGTTGAGCCAGTTCTGGCTTCTCCCACACATCTTTGTATAGCCATTCCAGGTTTCATGTTGGCAGTACTCTGAACTGGGTCACCAACCATACCCTCAGATGATGTGTTATTTATTTAAGATGTGAAATTGTGACCAGTTGTATTAATATACATAAAGACATTTTAAAAACTGATAAATTCACAAGTCAGTGATATGTACTCAAAGATGCAAAGGGAGAACTTGTAATGTTGCACTAACTCTCAGCACGATTAGTGCATCAAAAACCTCATTTTGGCTACCAGTGATTTAAAGAGGGATTGTAAAACAGAGCTATTTTTAAAAGCTATGGTTAGTTTTGAGCACAAATTATTTCATACTTTTGTTTTGGTGAGTCAAATATATCTGCACTTTCAGCAGGAATTGTTCAATCAATGAAGATCTTGCCTGATTGTACATCTGACTTTTAGATTCAGCCTCAGGCTTATCTTTGTTAAATATCCAGCTTCAAAATATTTTCTATACTTCCAACATATATGATAGGCTGCAGAGTTTTGAGATAGAAAATTGACACTGCTTTTAGATGTAAAAATGCTTAAGTAAAATTATTTACATCAAAAATATATTAAATCAAAGTATACTAAAATCAATTGTCAAAATCAATTTTGCAATATTTGTACATTCAAATTTAACACATTTAAAATTATATATTTACATTTTTGTTAAAGCAAATGTTTTCAAAATACCTTTACAAGAAATTGCTGTCAGCCTCAAATGTTTTTCTAAACTATTCTACATACCAGCGATTCTTATTTTAAATTTGCCCCATGGTGCAATTAATCAAGGATTTGATAAGTCAGTTCACTGTTCAGTTGGTATGGATTATCACAGGTTCTGTGCTATGTTGCACGCACACAGAGCTGTCATTGATTCAAAGGGATGCAGTGGACTACATTTTAAAATACAACTTTCAAGCCATTTATCTAATTGAAAAATTTTACATTAAGCGATCCTATTTTCTGCCTATGCAATCATGGATGTCACTCCTTGTGACAAAAGAAAGCAAATATGCTCTCAGAACCAAAGTATCCCAGCATTCAAAGAGCACATGAAAGGACATTATTTGTATTCATGAGGCGTTATATCTAGATAGAGCTACTATGCTCAACCTCCTGTCCTGTTTGATTCTGTTAAGCTTCCAACATCTTATCCACTCCATCATCAAGATCACCTATTCCACTTCCATAATATTGCCTTTCTCTGTGTTTCAATTAAGCAGTTACTGAAACCCTTATTTTATTACTTCCAGATTCAATTATTATAATGCTTTCATAGCTGGCTTTTTATCTTCCTCCCTGCATAAATTTGAGATGATCCAAATCTCTGTTGCTTGAATTCCAAGCCTCACCAAATCCTGCTTTGCCATCATCCCTATACTTGTAGGTCTGCATTGTCTGCTGGTCCATTTTAAGATTTCCGTTATGCTCAAATCCTTCAGTGGATTTTCATCTCCCTTTCTCTGTAACCTCCTCCAGACATACTATCATCCATGATTCTGTATTCCTCTAACTCTGATCTCCTGTGCACTGCAATTCTATTTGCCACACCATTAACCATAGTACCTTCAGCTGTCTTAAATTCTGGTAATTGTCTGTCTCTTCACTTTTCCCTCCTTTAGGATCTTCTTTAAGTCTTACCTGGTCTCAGTGACAGTTTCTCAACAAATGTTATAGTGTCATTGGATGCTTGAGCAGGCTAGCAAGCCAGAGATTCAGTGGTAGCTAACAGCAATTAAACACTGGATCAGCAACTGCCTTGATTCAAATGAGATGAGTAATAACTACCTTTTATGTAACTAGTAAGTTATTTCATTTTACTTGCTTCTGTTTAATTCTCTTTAGATTCTCTTGCACACCCACTAATAACCAGCTTCCAAGGTGCATTGGCAGAAACCCAGAAGCAAGTTACCTTACAGATCGCCATGGATTATGTGCAGAGTAGAGACACAATTCGAAAAACAAAAGAGGAATGAGTGCCATATTGAGCAGAGTATAACATGCATACACTTTGCCTCAATTAAACAGAAGACACCAATAATGACATTAACATAAAACCAAATTATAGGCAATCCAGGGAAAAGGGCAAAAGCATGGATTACCTCAACTGATAGCACTGTGTGCTCCAATGTACTGTGATTGATTTTAAAGCGTAACCTATATTTCAACTGCAGTTTAAACAATTTTAATTCTGTTCTTGACCAAGAGAGAATACTGAAGCTTTGGAAAAAGTGCCAGTGATGGAAACTAGTCTCATTCACAGTACAAAGCAGTACTTCCCAAATATTTTCCCTATGACCCCATTTCAGGATTGAAATTTGTCATGAGAAAGTAATGAGGAAGGGAGAATGCCTCACTACCCCAGTAGGAGTCCCTATTCTCACTGAGGGAAGCCCTGTTATAAAGCATCTTAGTTATTAAGGAAGGCTGAGAGAGTTAGGACTCTAAAATTTATGGTCATGAATTAATTTGAAATTTGAAAAATAAATGGAAGAAATTAATGGTGTTCTAGATCATAATTTGGTCCTGCTAAATGGGGTAGAAAGGATTAGGATTGCAGTAGATTGCATTTAGGTTGAGTCTCAGGAAATTCTTTTCCCAGAGAACAGTGAATCTCTGGGACAGGTTCTGATCTCACACAGTGCATGCTAACTGGTCGAGTTCCTTCAAAGTGACAACCGTACAACTTCTGATTGCAGCAGAGACTAGTTGAGTTAGTCAGGCATTTTTCGGATCCCCAGCCCCACCAGAAATGGCCCATTTCTTAAATATTGCTTTTTGTCTCATCAGGATGTTACACTTTAAGTGGGGTGTGAATTTGTATAGATGTAGGGATATGCAGTACTGGGTATTGCAATCAACAGATCTGAGGTCTTTTTACCAGTCACTCACTCATTATTCATACATTCATCAGTTTTGTAGGACCTTTAATCACAGAGCCCAGCACAGGTTAATTTCTATCTTCTATAAATTTATAGTCAGTCAATATAAATGTGGTCCCAAATTAGTTCAGAGATGGGCAACAGTAAGACTCTGTAGTCTAGCAAACAATGAGTGGAAGATCATATCTTGTGACAAGGAGTTACTAACCAGCACCAGGACTCCAACTGATAACCATAAGTGTAAAATTTCTCCCTCACAAAAAGAACTTTATAGAATCTTTGAGTATATACACGTGTTCCATTAAAATGTTTTTTTTTTTAAATCATTTATGGGTTAAAAAAAAAAGACTCTGAAGGGTATGAAGATGGCACAAAATCATAGATTTAAAAAATAAACCTTTACTATAATAGAATTCAAGTTTAAAATCCATCTTCTGAATTTGATAAGTTTACAAAAAAAAACCACGCATGGTCTGACTGCTTTAGAATTTAAGTATTCCTCAAGAATTATTCTTTTCAATAGTTTGTTGTATTCAATGCTTTAGACAAATACATGTTGAATTATTAAAATTATTTTTTCCTAAAAGTTCTATCTGGCTTTATTTCTTGCTGTTAAAGGCTTGCAGTAAATTAATCTGGCTTGGTCCAAAGTTTTGTTGTGTGTTGTAATTTCAATGGAGGTACTAATGGAGCAACTCTGTTTAACTGCAAGGGCTGAAAAAGTTGCACTGACGTCATTGGGAGTCTGGGTAGCTCAGTTACTAGAGCATCAGACTTTTAATCAAAGGGTCCAGAGTTTATTGCTTGTGGCTCAGCTGTGGGTATTGTTGCCTCTGAATCAGAAGGATGTGGGGATTCAAGCGCCTAATTGAGCTTGAATTTCACCACAGTACCGAGAGAAAGCTGGACGGTTGCAAGTGTTCTTTGCAAGTGTTCTTTGCAAGACCCAAACATTAGATTGAGGTCCAGATTTCCTGCTATAAAATTGCAGGAGTTCCCCATAATTTTACACCAGGATGATTCCCAGCTTGGAGGAATTGTCTTATGAGGAAAGACTACAAAAAGGATGGGATTGTACTCTCTGGAGGTTAAGAAGAATGAGGTGACCTCATTGAAACATATAGGATTCTTAAGATGTTTGAGTAAATGCCAAGATGATGTTTCCTCTCATAGGAAACCCTAGGATGAGGGGGCATAGTCTCAGGACAAGGGGGTGCAAATCTAAGACAGAGAAGGAATTTCTTCTGTCAGAGGGTTGAGTCTCACAGAGAGCTTGCGTATATTTAAGGCTGAGTTAGGTAAATCCTTGATCAGTACAGGAAAACAAAGGTTTGAGGGAAAAGCTGGAAGGTCAGATCAGTCATTATCCGAATGAACGATGGAGTAGGTTCAGGACCAAACAGCCTCCTCATGCTCCTATTTCTTATGGTCTTATGGCATGGCCAGCTGTAAAAAGCAGGGCTTGAGTGACAGCTGTATATTTTTTAAAAATAATGCCCAACTGTTAGCATCATGTGTTCAACTCCTCAGTTATAAAATTTCCATTCATTTACTCCATTATTTCCTCATCCTCTGGCCAAGCAACATGATTGGCTAGCTCTTGGTAGGAACAAGGGTGGTCTCAAACTAATTTTATGCCCAATTTAACTTGTTGCATGCTTTATTAAATTCTGATGATACAGCCAAGATCTGGAATAGTTTGTACAGCTTTGCAGATTCACACCCACATCAAACCACATTATGGTGCTACACTACCCCAAAAGACATCATTTCAGTAAACAGAGGGCAATTAAATGCAAAATATGAAATAATCAGCACATTAATACAAACATTTATGGTATGAGCCATTTTGTTTTTAATTTGTTATTCACACCCTTTTCAAATCAAAGTTCAACAATACAAAAAAAAAATTCTAAAAAAAAAGGAACTTATCAAAATATATCCATGTCAGGTTAAACAATGTTCTGATATCATACAAGAGTAAATGAGTGACAGATAACTGAACAGTTTACCGTAGCAGGAAAAACACCTCCCAGTCATCAGCTCTAATCATATTCTATGAAAAGGGGCTATTGTGTTTTGGCTACAGTCAATTCTTTAACCTTTAGGATCAAGAAAAATTGAGAATGGAATAAAAGAATGCAAAAAAAAAAAAAAAACAACCACTTTACTACCAAATCACATAGCCTCTCGAATTCCTCATGCTCTGGAATGCTATTCCTGGCACAGGGCTTTCACAGTATTTGCACTTTAATCCAAACTGCAATACAATGAAGCCATTCTATAACTATCCATTTAATGTTTATAGACAGGGTGTGTAGCACACTTTCAAAACTCCACCTATAAAGTGCGTCACATTGAGTCGTGCGGAGAAAGAACTAGCATGACTATTGCAACAGTTTCACCTGATAGAAAAGTGTGGTTTATTGCAATTACTGAGCTAAAATCAAGTTTGGTCATTGTAATGTTCTTCCTCTGCTTAAATCTGCACATTGAAGCAATTTTAGACCCATTTTCTGCCAAATCTGGGCTACTAAAGATCAAGCAATACAACATTTCAATAAAAAAGGGTAGTCTGATGCTAGACATATATATCTTTGGGTAGAAGTGTACCTTTGGCCAAATGTAAAACATGGTGGAAAACAGCTGGTTACTTGGAGCAACATTGCAATACGTCCCACCTGCCAGCAAAGATGTCAGAGTCAAGACAGCACAGGGAGCCATTTGGCCCAACAAATCCATTCTGGCTCTCTAGAGCAATCCAGCTAGTCCTGTTACCCTACTATACCTCAGTAGCTTTGCAGGGTTATTTCCCTCAAGCACTGACTATTCTACCACCTATCAGCACAAATCACAGGTCATTCGCAATCACAGCATAAACAGTTTATTCTGCCCACCTATCTTGCTGAAAACCCTAAGACTATGTCCACTCATCCTTTTCCTCATCTACCACATTCAAAATAACCATCCAGTATACCTCCATCAAAAATCCTCGAAAAATATTTATAAACAAGTGAAAATGGGAAGTTTTGCAAAGTTGCAAAATCACATCCTGAACATGGGTTCAGAGCCACAATCTAAAGACTGATGAAAAGGGAAGTCAATTCCAGATAGCCAATGGCATAAAACTGCCAAATATAAAACTACTGTAAACTGAAATATTTACTGAGACAAATCAAGAAGGCTGAGTTGGGCAAAGGAAATTAAGCCATGATGTGCATTAAGGAGTGTTGGCCAAAACAAAAATGGAATTGAAACATTTTGGTGGGTTCTCACTTTGCAACTATTCCAGCTATAAAAGTTTGGAAAAGTGGCACAGTCATTGGATATAGATTGTAAAATGGTATTTCTGTTGCTCAACACATTATAACCTGCACATTTGGGATTTCATTCTAATAATGACTTTTAAAAATTAAAGTGGATGCAGTAGGATTGGGAAACGTTACTTCCAAAATTTCAGTGTAAATTTGAGTCCAAAGCTCTACGTCATGCTGGTTTGGAAGTTGTACATATTTCTACTGGTCCGAAGTCCAATTAAAATCAAACATTTCCAGTTCTAATGCCGGGTTTATCTGAAGTTTTTAATAAAAACAATATCTATTCAGAACTCGGCATGTGGAGCAGACTACTGAATTCAGTGTTAAATGACCGCGCCCTCTTAAATCTGGGTTAACATGGCTAGTCCATTTCATTTACCAACATGCATCAGCAGAGCCGATCTGTTTCACAGATTATCTGAACTATTTCAGGACAAGTGTCACATTTCGCGAAGATGCCAGAATCAGGTCTTCCCCCACCCACTTAAATCACTGCCGCAAAGCTGAGTCAGGTGTAAGGTATTCAGAATGCAACACATTTGTCAAGTGCGTGTGCAAACTTGAAACGATTACAGTTCATTACACTGTTCATCTTTGTAACTGTTCAACTGGGTTAATTGACCTTTTCAGTGCCAGCTCAAAAGCAGTGTCAAGTTCAACTCCATTCAGAGGCTTGAAAAAGTTACCTTTTAAAACACAAAGGTCAGTGGTGTTTGGCAATCTTAACATTGTAACCTTAATAAATCACACAAATGCAGATATATTAAAATATTCCACATTTATTGAGCCAGCTATATATAAAAAAGCAAGACCTCTACAGATTGTTTCTTAAAACTGCTTGGACTAACCTGGGGTATTTGTGCAAACATTTGTTGAACCACATTCTAAACAAGTGCGTTAGAGAAATCTTCCTTCTTTGGTCTTTTTAACCCCTCCAAAAAAAAAAAAAAATAGGAAGCATTCTCATTAGTACCCTTCTAAATATTACAAGTGCTTGAGCAGTTTTAAAGTGGCTGAACCCTCCCCAGTTTTCCCTTCTTCCCCCACCTCCCTAAACAAAAACTGGCTGTGAAGTATACCAAATACCCTATCCTCCAACTTTAATTGAAAGAAACATGATGTTCCCCCAATGCTAATATCCAATGTGTCTTAAAGGAACAGTCCTTTGTATCCATGCAACCTTTTATAATCTGTCACTCATTTCACCAGCACTGATTTGTTGATTCCATTTTTTTTTTAAAACAAAATCAGATCTAATTGGATTGGACAGCTTCAATGATCAGCAACTGATGATCAACCGCCCAAAATATTTCTCTTCTTTTCAAAGATTTCATCATGTTCAGTTTTGCAAAGTAAATCAGCTGCTTTAACATCATTTGATTCCTTTTTACTCAATGAGAATAAACCACAACAGTAGGAAAACATGCTTGATGTCAGTGAAAGGTAAATTCTAGCAGGTCAGAAAATTGCTCACAAGACAGTGCTCAATCAATGAATGGTGCAGGTAGGTAATGGTCCAGTGTAAGCAAGACTCATTCAAGGGGCAAGCAGATGTCTGAGAGAGAGAGTGAGCTCTCCTCATCTGCATCCATCTGGTTTGTCTATAATCAGGAGAATATCTCCTTTAGTCATACAAGAGCCATGTAGTTTCACACCTATTAAGAACTGGTTTTGATGAAAGCAACTGAAGTGGCTCCCTAACCATCTGGTAATGTTTCCTAAGAAACAATAGATAATAGCAACCCCTTACCACACCACCCCACCATAGTAAAGATAAATGAAACTGTTTTCAAGATAAGCAATTATGTTACCATTTACCAGGCAATTAGTATGTTTCAAAACAAAGTCCCATTACATTTAATTTCAGTTGGGCCATAGAGGAATTGTTCTTCATTCAGAGCTGAGGCCCACAGTAATATTTTCACAAAAATGTGGTTATCTGTGTGTAGATCACATGTACAAGCTCTTACTCAATGGTGCAAACTAGGAAAAGATTTAAAAGGTTCCACATTGGAACCCAATCGCAATTATTCAATTTATCATATTGGAGGGGAAATTCATTCCAATAAACCTCAGGCATACCTATTCCAAATCTTACACTGCTAATTGTACTTCAAATGAATTAATCCATGTTTCAAATACAGTATTTTCACCATTATTTACATGTTTCAAATGCACAGGAAATATTTCTATTTAACGATTAGAACAAATTGACGCATGCAGTGGGATTTCCTCAGAGTCACATCGAGTCTTTTGCCTGCAACCCAGTGTCATACCCAAATTGAAAGCAAAGCCTTCAGCATCTGCAGTCTCTGCATAGGCTGGTCATGGCCAGGTGCAGTCAAGCTTGACTCCTTCCCAACAGCCTCAGGAACCATGCGTCTATTCTGCCAGAGACTGAAACATGCTCCCAGTAAGTGGGCAACAGCTGAGACATTGCACCTCAACACCCATCTCCAGCCCATGCATGTTAGAATAATTAATATCATAACTGGTTCCTTGTGTTTTGCTTCCTTAATCTATTCCTGTCTTATACATAGTAATGGCAATAAACTCTCGAAGAGGAAATTCCTAAACTTTATTGTGCGATTAAAAAAGAAACACAATGTAGACTATGTTGCAAGGAGCAAAAGAAATGCAGTATTGAACAGATTCAGAGGCCACCATGGTTAAGAAGCTCTCAAACCGTCTAAAGATTGGATTTTTTTTTTAAATCCTCTTTCAAAAGAAAAAAGCAGGCTGTAGTTAAGTCACTGGCTATCCTGGAACACCGTTTCACTGCCATTGTAATCTGTAGCTTCAAGTTCCACACTAGACAAGAATTTCCGTGCTGCTTTTCTGCAGTTGTAATCCACGGTGGTAGTATAGACTGTCTTTGCATACTTTGGGTACACAATGATAGTGCTGCGGAACCTCCACGGTTTGTGTCGCGGCTCAAATCTCAGCTCCGTCTTGTAGTTCCGCCATGTGCAATTGGGAACGCAGATGACTGTCTGGCTGCAGGAGTCAACACCCAGTGTGTGCTGCAGGAGTATATTATTGACATAGTGTCGGTCTGAATCATACTTCACAGAGGAGGTGTACCTGGGAACATACAGACAAGGAGCATTTTATTCAAAGCATAAATTTTCCTACAGCATGCCAAAACACAAGAGTCTTACACTGGATGGTAGCCTAGAGGAAGAAGTAGCTAGGATGTTACTACCTGGAAACTCAACTACTGTGGAATCAAACATGCTTCTTTCCATTTGTAACAAAGCTGTCCAAGGCACCATCAGTGGGGAATTGTTTTAATTCAGTGACCCCAGGATGGCAAGTCTATCTAAAATTGTCAGAAAATGCATTTTTGACAGCTTGGATAGAACTTGCAAGGCTAGCTTACAGTCATTCCAAATTTAACAAAATGTCTTGTACAGAAATATCTTAGTATGATTTGCATTAAAATTTGACTTTTAGTTAACATTTGTTCCAAGTCCTGGTGCTTAAAAGCAGACTAGAATTCAAAGGATGCATCTATCCATCGCAGGACAATGGGAATCATTAAAAATATCCAGCAAATAAGCACTTCAGGTATTGGAATACCCCGTTCATGACTTAAGGAGCAGTTAGTCTCAAGACATTCACACTCGAGGAGATGCAGCAACCAATTTGTCAGCCCTACATAACCAACTTATAAAGGCGTGAGGGGGGTCAAAAGTCAAGCTGCTGGCTGATTGACCAGCTAAAGGAAAAAGGGGGGAAATCACATAGCAGGAGCACGTTTATTCCTTTTAAAATGGAGATAACCAAAACACCCGGAGAAGGTTTTACATTTAGCAATGTAACAGGAAAAGCTTGCCACATTTTATTACAAGATAGCAAGCAACAAAGTTTTGGTTGCAAGGCAGCCCATCACTGCCAGGAGGTTGGGGCCTTCTTATGGCGTTGTGATAGTGTCCCTACACCTGGATGGAGAAACCCAGGTTCAAGTCCCACCTGCTCCAAAGTTGTGCAATAACATCTCTGAACAGGGTGATTAGAAAAATAGGTTAAATAAAAAAGAAAAAAATGATCTGGTTTTGAGAGCATGCAGCTATTCACACTGATTTAATGAAAATATCTAGAAAATGCTCAGTTTTTAATGCCAGGTATAGTGCGGAAATGGAACGTGTAGAATTTACTCGAGTTATGTTGCCAGCCCTGTTTATCAGTACGATCGATAGTACCTGCACATGGATATATATAAAACCAACAGTAAGCAAAATTTGTCTTGCTCAATTATAAATCTTTTCCCATTTCACCATTGGAAAAGAAAAAAAAAAGCCCAAAACATCCTGCAATTCCAGCACAGGGTGCCATATTATTTACCTAATCGCCTTTGGTGGCAAAGGGTCCACTTCAACACCTTCTCCAAATGACAGTGGATGCAGCCTTGGCCCAAACCCTGTGATTAGGAAAGAGGAAGTAACTGGAGTGTCCTGAAACAGAAAATAAAAACAGACAAAGATGTAAGCATTGAGAGTTCAACGTGGACAATGCAGCCCTGTGAATCTTAACTCCAGAGGCAGAGGCAGTCTTTAACTGACTAGAGTGAAACTCATCAGTATCTGAAAAACAGCAAATTCCAATCAAGGAGGGGGGATAAAAATCTCAAATTTGCTGAACCTTAAACGTGATCTGGAGTACAAGTGGTGTGGCAAGTCAGTGATACAGCTGCCAATTTATCCCCCCAAATCAAGCACCTCCTTTAAGAGGCAAACATCTGTGTTTACAACCAGATGACATCAAAACATAACTAGTCGTTTGAGTTCCAAGAAGAGAAGTGCCTTGGAATTTGAGTTATGCCTCCATCAAGGAAAAGGAACAGTGTGGCCAACCACAATGACAACCTTCTGAACTGACACATTAGTAGTTGATAGCAAAAAAAGAGATGTAATGTGTAGTCAATGCCACTCAATCCCATTGCCTTTCAGCTGAACCAGCAGTCAACTGTATTTTAAATGCTGTAAAAAGAAGATTCCACTCTCCTGCTCCAATGCTCACATGGAACAGAATCCCATGGATCAGTTACAAGCTCCAGGACAAAAAAAAAAGAGATGACATTAGCCAGAGGCAATCAAATGTGACCACATACATGCCACCAGGGACAGGTTAGTGAATGAAAAATCAAATGTTGCAAAACTGATATCTAAACACTCAACAGGTGAGACAGTAGCAGTAGACAGAAAAACAAGAAAAGTTACCATTTCAGGTGGATAGCCTTTATCAGACAAGTGATAAGCAGTTGGCCAGGTTTCACTAATAGATTTAAATGTAGACTGACAGTGAAGTTTTAATCAATTATCTTGGGAAGCAGATCAGTTTTGTAGATCTAGAGTGTCTTCCCCTACCACCCATCCGAGAGTAAATTACATTAATGAGCTCTTTTCATTTAACTTCAAATTACTGGCTATGAAACAAAATTTGCATCAACTAGAGTTAATTTAAATGGGAGTTAACATCTTGTGTGCTCAAGAGGGTAACAGGACCCAAGTACCAGATAAACTGTACTAGCACCAACACTGGAATCTCACCAAGGATGACCTAGGACTCGTCACCCTTTGAAAATCCTGTTTATATTTGGGATTCTGGAATTTACAAGTGTTTATTCTGATGAATGAGCAGATTTTTTTTAGTACCGACTCAACTCATCTTGACAATGGTTTCCTGTGATTTATTGTTGCTGAGATTGCACTTACTACAAGCCTACAGCGTGTGCAGGGCCACACGTGTTCCCAGCTGGGATCTGTTCTGAAGCACTAAAGCCAATTAAGCAAGTGTGGCCACTACTGTAATGTAGGAAACATGACCGTCAATTTGGACGCAACAAACAGTAATGTGATAATGACTGGATAATCTCTTTTTTTGCAATGTTGATTGGGAGATGAACTTTAGACGAAACACTTCCAAGAACTCACCTGCTCATCTTTGAAATGGAGTCATGGGATCCTTTACCACCAGAGGTCAGACAGGGTCTTGACTTTAACATTTTATCCAAAAGAAAGCACCCACAACAGTGCAACATCCCTGCAGTGCTGCACTGGACTATCAACATTGATTTTTGTGCTCAAGTTAACTAGAATGGGGCTTGAACCCACAATGTTCTGATTCAGAGGGGGAGTGGGAGTGCTACCAAGTGCGCCATGTCAGACTATGGTCTAAATTCACAAGCCAGGGAGGAGACATTTACAGCTTTCTCCAGCCCAAAACATTTATTGGTTGGAGACTGAGGTTTTGAAGCATCAGGGTACATTGAGTGAGGAAAGTCTGGGAAAGAGATAAACTGCTTGGTGAGGTATTTGAAGAGGGAACACAGGTTTTTTTTTCCTGAGTATGAATGGCCCTGCTTTCTTGCTCTTTCATGGGCATCCCACAATGTTCTTGTATGGAGGTTTCCATTTCCCATTTCTATTGAGCAATCACACCTCCACCTCTGTTTTTGTCCCAAGTGTACAGCCCACATTTCCAAGAGTTTGGCTGTCACTGAAGTAGGTAATTAAATAAGTGCGTCAAGTCCACAATAGGCAGATTGTACAGATTTGTCAAAGCAGGTCTGAAATGCCAGCATTTTCTCATTTAATTTCCCATGTCTGCCACTTCCCTTGTCTTATAAAGAGATCAAGCAATTAGTGCCAAAAACTCTTTTTAACCATTCTAAATTTTCACAGGCTGTAAAAACATTAATCCACACTCAAAAGTAAATCTATTGCACAAGGCAGGTTGCCTTTTAGGGACTGTCTGGCTGGGAAGATAATTGCCAGTCCATGTAATTTTCCATCCATCCTCTCTGTATTCAGTTACTGACAATAAACTATTATCTTAATTCGAAAGCAGTTTCTCAAGACAAAAAAAGCTATCCTTGAATTTCCACTTAATTACTAAGCTCCAGTATTCAACTATGTGCAGAGCTGTCAAGTCACCTCCACAGGGACCCATGTAAACCACTTTGCTGACTGTTTCTAAAGTTAATAATGAAATAAGTGGTGCTTTCTACCCCTCTTCAAACAAGAAATAGGGTTACATCTCACCATTCTTTGGCCCAATAGGAAACTCAGCAAAAGAGTTTCCACACTTGTTAATATTCTGTGAAGTGCAGAAAATGTTAGAGTTACCAGAATACACACATGCTGTCCATAACAGAATGTGGCTTAGTGATGCCTTCCAATAGCCTATGATATGTTCTTCAGGTGTCAACTAGAAATGCAGCTATATAGGCAAAAGGGTGTCCACTTAAATTTATAAATACCCATCCCAGTAAGGGAGAGAGGGGAAAAAAAAAGAGAAAGAGCTAGAATTCAAGACTTGTTTATACAGGTTTTTTTGAATAAAAAGAGAGAAAACAGGTAACTGGAACTGAAGATCTGTGCCAGCACTGCATGCAGTTTCTGGTACATGTTCACTTTGTCAGGGTGATGAGAAAATAATCTCAAATGTATCAGCTCCAAATGGGCTTTCATAGTTCATTGTGCAGAATATGTAAAAAATGTACAAATTGGCATTTTTTTGTCTCCCTACACAAAAGGGAAGATTGCAGATATTTAGGTTCTGCATTTATGAAAAGGAAGTGACACTGTGGAAATCTGTTCAGAGAACACACTAAAGAGAACAGAAAAGGTAAATCTAGAGAACAACCTCAGCAAATCTTGATGGTAGAAAGACCGAGTGGGAGTTGATGGAGAAATTATTCAAATTAGCGAAACGCAGTTCAAATCCTTGCACCCATTTAATGCTATGAATGGGGGTAGGAAGATGGCACAGACAGGTTACGGTTGGCTTTCCTACATGAAATGGTCAAAAATGTCAGGAAATTAGGCAACAACTCAACCACAACCTTGCACCCAAATTTCCAATTAGTGATCCATCAGCTGAAGGCCATCCGAGGCACCCAGCATTTGAACTTTCCCAAGATTACTGTAGCACTGAATTCCAAAATGGTTGTTTTTAAAAAAAAAAAAACTTGCTTGTATTTAAAACCTTCCCCTCTTCCTATCAGAATTCTTTACAAGCAACCCACACTATTAATTGCCTACGGCAACTGCATGTTGAAACACAATGGCCAACTGCAACATTGTCCCAGAACTGCTTGCCCAGAGCTTCTGTTCCAGTTATTTGTTTACTTTCTGTCCAAAGAATTTGTGATGAGACTTTTAAAGAAGGTCTAGTTCTAGTTTTCCACCCTGCCTCTCTTTCCTAGGGAAGAAAAGGAGCTAGACTCTGTCTCTGCAAAATCTCTTCCAGTCTTAATGAGAATCAACATGCTGCTCCCATACTGTACGATTTCATGGCACAGTACAGTAGGTGCCTATGCACTGTATCATCTTTGTCTCATGGATTATATTTGTTCTATAGATATCCCAATAAACTGTTCACTCCCTTCAAGAACAACATTCTTTGGAAAGGGGAGTGGCTCAGGAGATTGGAAAAATACAGAAGCATGAGGAAACTCATGTGACCTCACACATTATAAAACGTGCCCTCACATATAGTGCCTTACCAATACCAAACACCCGAGACTACTCAAAATAATGTCACTTTTTGAAATTCTTATGTAGGCAGTCATTACCATCAGCACCCAGAAACAGAGGTAAATGGCTAGCTAATCTGGTTTCGGTAGTATTGGCTGAGGGAGGACTTTTAGCCTAGCCTTGGTCAATGCACGCCCAAGCAAATCCCACTTTTAAAAATGAAATTGAAAAGTCAAACAGTTTAAGCCAAATTAGATTCCATAAAATGGTAGCTGAATGTTGTAGCTGTATCTCCTTTGGAGATCAAAGTGAAAGCTATCAAGATGGCATTCAATATGCCTGACTGAGAAACTACGGAAACATTCAGATTCTCAAGAATGCATATTTCAACCTTTCTCTATCACTGCACCTCCCACTCCACGGTGGCAATACAGCTCTCCATTATATTGCAGGCCTGGCAGCAAAGTTACACCATGATAAACACAAAACTTCCTAAGCAACACTTTTTTGGGTGGTGGTTGGAAGACAAAACACCAAAGAACACAACAATGGTATGTTTTTTAAAAACGTTTTATCAAAAAAAGTACAAAAATACACCAGGAGGAACAATATGATTTGTTTAAAAAAAAAGTAAGTTACAGAAAGCTTGTTGCCAAGGCACTCCTGTTTACAGTTCTTTTTTTGGGCAACTCTGAACAGTTACCCAAGCAGAGAATAACATTCTCTTCACCATGATTTGAAAATCGGTTTTCCATTAATTTTAACTGCATATCATTTACAAAACTAAGGAGGATAAATTCAGTGACCCAAAATACATGGGCTTAATTTTTCTGTAAGAGTTAATTTCCTCTCCTCTCAGCTATACATCCTCTCTCCCATCACTTTGAAATGCTTTGCCTAGATTATCCAGGTTTTACTCTAAACATTTCTAAGCATTTCCAACATTTAAAGATAAATATTCACCTCAATGTGAC